CGGCCGCCGCTGCCGGTGGCTGCTGCTGCTGCTGCTGCTGCTGCTGCAGAGGCGGGAACTGCCTCTCCACCTCGCGGCGCGCGATGGTCGTGGCGCGCCTCGACTCCATGGTCGAGGGGAGGTAGAAGGGGCGGAGGCCAAACATGGGCGTGTCGAGCGTTGCCGCCTTTGGTCGCTTGTACGTCTCGGGGATCGGCGGCCGGGCGAGGTCCGCCGGCAGCGTGATGAAGTCGGAAGCATTCGGCGGTCCTATATACAAACGTGGGCGCCAAGGTGGGCCAGTCAGCTGTGACTCTTTTTCGCCGGCGGGCTTTGCGCTTGATCATGTTCGTGAAGGCCATCACTATTGCCTGCACATCAGCTGGGAGCTAACCTTGGGCCTGGGCGCTGTCATGACCAGCTTTAGGCCACTTTACTGGGCTATTCTGAGGAGCAGCCAACGTGGCTGGCTCGGCAGTCACGGGAAACGGCAATTCCCACCCCCGACCGGTTGGCCCCGTCAAAGGTCGAGGTTCTTCTTTGCAAGAGGCCATTTGGGGGCGGAACGGCCGTCGGCTGGAAGAATTCCTATGAGAAGCAGTGTGGGTGCGACGATGGGGTTGCGAGTTGGATTCTACGTGGCCAAGAAGAGGCCTTCGGAACGGCTCGAAGCCCACAACACGCACAAGAGGCCCCGTGTTGCCGGCGCTCAAAGCGTGCCGAGGGTCCGTTATCACCTTGCTAGTCGCGGGGCCGGGATCGCTGGGCGCCGCGCGGAGCTCATTATACTGATATCTCGCATCCGACGGGACAATCGCCCTGGGATGCTCCCGCTGCCCCCTGGGCACCTCTTGGGCACACGATGAGGCGTCAAGACGAAAGGCGGGAGCCTGAATTATGAGCGAACGTGGAGGCTCACTCACGTCCTCATCGTCGTCCTCAAAGATGACCTTCTCGGGCAGGTCATCCGGCGAGAAGCTGAAGGCCGGCATGTGGTGGCGATGAGAAACGGGCGCATGGGCGCCAGCCATCTTCTCCAGGAGGGACTGTCGGGGGCTTGACTTGCCGGCGGAGGGAGAGAGGGAGCCGCCGACCCGGAACGGTCGCTTCCCCTTGTCGGATGTTCCCGGGCCGTGCGCGGCCACGATGGCGCTCGGGGACGATGAGCACGACGTTGCGAACGAGAAGGAGCCCAGGGACGACGTTTTCGGGGACAGCAGCGGCGATATATGCTCCTCGCCCGCGGCGGGGGCGGCCCCATCAGCTCCTTTTCTCTCATCCTATGCCGCACGTGAAAAAGAAAAAAAGTCAGCGCACCCGCAACAGAAGGTTGCTATGACCCCTCTCTTCCACACAAGCTTTTCGTATTACCTCTGCGCCTTGCAGAAGGCCCGTCAGTTTCGGAGGCGGGACGACCGTTGGGCTATCGCGGATCTCGTTGAGCACCCTGGCGAGCGTGCGGGGAGGAAGCTTCCTCCTGTTGCTGCCCCATACATGCCACCAGAAGTTCTCGGCGCGTCGGCTGTCCGGGCTGCTCATCGGCGGCGAACTCTACACGTCAGCCCGCAGCTCTAGACAAGAAAAGTGACTTTCCAGAATGTGGATGAAAGCCGTGTTTGTGGGCTAGGTGAAGGGGCGATGGTGGGGGAATATCCTCGACTGACTCCTGGAAATTATGTTGGCACAGGGAGCATTCTATGCATTTGCGCTTTGAATCAGCCGTCAGTCCCCCTCTCGCGAGGGAATGCAGCGAGGAAAACAAAAGGCCGGCACGAACTCGCCCACAAATGATGGATCTCAAGCGAGGGCAGCTCATCGGCCGTCTCGAGAGCGGCTATCATCTCTTCATTGATCCTGAACATGCCTGCGCGGAGGGCCCCTGGGGTTCCAAGCGCGGTGGCCATCGTGGCGACATATATGGAGGGTGCGCGTCTAGGGCAACGGGGGGCAAAAAGAGTTGAGGTGGTTGACGATCCCGCTCGGAGCTTACGAGACAGGAAGGGGGAGCAGTAGGGGCGAGGTATGTCAAAGAAAAGGGCTGGGAGAACAGACATGAGACTAAGGCGGTGGCCCCTCGCGCAACATGACAGGTAGCGAAGAGGGGGGTTGACAGGGGAGCCTGATATATGGGGGTGGGTGGGACGAGCAGAGAGGAGGGAGACGGTCACAGACACAAGCTCCGAGTGGGCGCCATCCCCGGCCGTGCTTGAGGCTCTGGCCGCACAAGTACAAGCCCAATCACGGGGGCGCGGCCCAGGTTCGGACGGGAGCGACGGTGTGGGAGCAGCGCGGTTCAACCAGTGCATAGGGAGGTACTCATGTAGCAGCTCGGCGGGCGGCGGGGTTGTACCAAACATTGGGGGGCACGGGGGTCAGGGCCTGGCCGGGAAGCCAGAGGAGGGAGATGCACAGAGGGCGGCGGATGGGTGGCTGGTATACGGCGCGACGCTACGGAGGCGGAGTGGCGCCAGACATCATTCGTCCCTGAGGTCAAGCCTGGCGTGAGGGTATGCTGGCTGCACCTCAGTCTCTCAGGTAGGCATGACTCCTCAAGCTTCTGTCGGAGTGCCCTTTGTCCTTTCTTTTCTGGCCCGTGTGTTGTTTCGCTCGGCCCCGACCACCGAGCCTGCATCCCCAACGCACCCAAGCGGACGCGTGGTTACTGCGTCTTCTCCGATCTGCCACCTTGATTGTAATTCAACTCACCTGCGAGCTGCTTACTACGAAGCGCGGCCAGCGGGACGTGGGGAACTCGGGTTGGGCGGGCAGATATCGATGCTGCAATCATTAGTTCTCCATCATACCCTCGCCTTTGCCCCTCTGTTCTGCTTGGGCCTCTTACTCGATAACGCGCGCGATGCCGGCTTATCAGAGCGCGTTGCCGCGCTGCCCACCCTTTGAAGAGGCTACCCTGGGCTAGATGCGGTAAACGCAATGACGGCCGCTGCCGCATCGGCCCTGGCTTGGCACATGGCACTGCACAGACCTGGACTGGACAGATGGGGACGTGAGGATGTGGTTTGTCTCTGCATGTCATGTAAACAGGGAGGAAACGATTTAGGCAGGTGTCTGTCGGGGACGCATGTTCGTCGGTTGGCTGGCGTGGTTGCGCGACGACAGGAAAGGCCAGCGAGGAGAGGGGAGGGAAAACACACCCAGCAAAATTAGGCGGCGGAAAAAAAAGAAAGAAAAAAAGGAAACAAAGCCCGGCGCGTTGCATTGCCCTTGCCCCTTGCGTCCGTAACAGCCTCAACGGTAGCGCAAACTCGATCCAGCCGGGCTAGCTGCCGCTGCCCGCCGTCTCCTGCCTCGTCAAGGCCAAGCCGTCCTCGTGACAGGTAAGAAGGTAGGCGGAAGAAATCGCGAGGGAGGGTACGGTGGCAGAAATGACGCGCCTGGTGCTCCAAACTGGTTACAAATGCTACGGCGGAAGAATTCAGTGGTCGCAAGTGTGTGTGTGCTGCCTCGTATCGACACCCGACACAGGCTACACAAAAAGAAAACACCATCACTCCTTACCCATCTATCCCCCCTCACCACCCTCCCGGTCCCTCTCGAGGCTCGGCTAGCTGCCAAATCGGAATCACAGCCGCCCCCCGGCGCCCGGCAGCGGACACCCGGCAATGGGCGAGGACGTATACGTGACCTGTTGCCGTCTCCTGCCCATGTCTCTATACTTGCCAAGCTCTCCTGTCTCGTGGGTTGTGCAGATACATCATGACGCGGCGGTGGAACCCAGGGCGAGAAAAAGAGCCCCATCCCAGTCATATCCTTCCCGATATTTCGCCGCTCTCCCCGGACCGTCCCGTAGGTGTGGGCTCGAATCAGAAAAGGGTACCAGAAGAGATGGCGGGAAGTGTAGGATAGGCACCCCACGCACCAAAAGAGATGGCAATTATTCTAATTTTTCCCTATTTTCCCTCTTATTCTTTTGCCGTTTTTCTTCCTGTCCTGATTGCTCTGTTTACGTGGGACTACCATCACGCCATGAATCACATGCACGGGAACAAAGGGACCGAAAGCAGGGAAAAGAGTGTCATACAACACTGCTATCTATTCTTAGCCGGTCGCAGAAAAAAAGTGCTCCGTAACACCGCCCTCGCCTTGTTTCCCTCCCGCAGGTAGTTCGCCCGCCACATGTGCCTGGCCTGATCGCCTGATCGACTGTCTCCCCTCCCGTTTTACATCCCACAAGGACGACCCTCTGGGGCTCCAAATCACACAGAGCCGTGTCATATCTTCGGTGAGCTGGCTCTTGTTCTTCTATCCTTTCGCCCCGAATTACCCAGTTTTCCGAGCCCCTTTCGTTATGATCCCTTTTCTCTCCTTGATTTTCCATTTTGGAACAATAGACGCGGGCCCAGTCATTTTCGTCCACCCGTCGCCTTTTCCCGCCCACCCTGCTGCGCGGCTGACCCTCTTTACGTAGTCGTGTAACCGCCGTCGACGCGGATGTCGGCGCCCGTGACGTACATGGACGCGTCCGAGAGCAGGAAGCTGACGGGGCCCATCAGGTCCTCGGGGTCACCCATGCGGCCCTGGGGGATCAGGGACGTCCACTGTTTCTTGAGGTCGGGCTTGTCTTCGAGGATCTTCTTGGTCAGCGGCGTCATCATGTAGCCGGGCGAGATGCAGTTGACGCGGATGCCGGCGTGGGCCCACTCGACGGCCAGCGAGGCAGCAAGGTGGCGAACGGCCGCCTTGGCGCTGTTGTAGGGTCTGTATGGCAGGGATTTTTTTGCGGTTAGTTTTTTTTTTCGTACAACCCGTGAACCCTTCCTTTTTAGGGTCTCGACAGAAACGTGAGAAAAAATAAGAAAGAAAAAAAAGAAAAGAAAAAGACAAAACTCACGCCTGCGGCTGCGGCACGTTGACGATCGCGCCGCTCATGCTGCCGATAAACACCATGCTGCCGGCCGCCTGGCGCTCCATCAGGTGGCGGGCGACGGCGGTGGCGAAGAGGTAGGTGCCGTCGAAGCAGACGCCGAACAGCTTGCGCATGCGGTCGACGGGGTACTGGACGGCCTCGAAGTTCTCGACGAAGCCGGCCGAGGTGACGAGGCTGTCGATCTTGCCGTGCTCCGCCACGACCTCGGCGATGCACCCGGCGACCGACTCCTCGCTTGACACGTCGGCGTAGTGCGCCGTCACCTTGGGCAGGCGCCCGGCCTCGGGGTTCTCCTTGCGGAACCGCTCGACGATGGCCTCGGCCTGCGACTGCGCCTCCTCCTCTGGGAAAGCGGCGGTAGAGGGTGATGTTTTCAGCAAAAAGGAATGCTTCTGGGGGGCAGGCGGGCTTTTTTTTTTTTTGCCTTTACTCACTGTTAAGATCGACAATGGCCAGGTCGGCACCGCTAATGACCATGCCCTGGCCCATGACCAGCCCCAGGCCCCTCGCGCCGCCCGTCACGATGCCGACCTTGCCCTGCAGCGAGAAGGAGGCCAGGGTGGGGCGGACGTTGATGCCGGCGCGGCCGGCGCCGGTGACGGGCGCCGACGACGGCAGCTCGTGGTCCTGCGGGTACTCGACCTGGACCGAGGCGTCTGTGCGCGCGAAGCTGCCGGCCGTCTCGGCGTGCTCCTTGTCCTTGGGGTCGGGCTGCCTGTTGCCGCCCGTGGTGGTGGTGAAGGCGGCCGTCGCCCGCTGTTTGATAAGGACGGGTGACGGCGCGGTGAGGCGGCGGCTGACGAAGAGGCTAGATGGGCCTGCGCGCAGCCGGGATCCGGCGCGGGCGAACTTGCTTCCCAGCATCCTGGTCTTGCCCTGTGTTCTGCTGTGAGATGTGTGTTTTGCTGGCTGGGAGGTGCAACAAGACCTAAAGTTGTTGGTGGTTGGTTTGTGCCTCGAGCAGGCGAGCTGGAGTGTCTTGGCCTGTTCAAATCTGCGTGGTGGATGGTGGCCCAAGAATAGATGACGAGCCCCAAGAGGAGGGGTAGCTTCCAATTTGCCGATCCGATATTCGATTTTGCTGGAGAAAAAGGCTTGAACGATGCAGGCTTGGTGAAAATCAGGCAAGTACAAGGTAAATCAGATTGCTCGCTCGCTCGATTGGTAGAGGTAAAAAGGTAAGCTGATTGCTCGTTTGTGTGCCACGTGCGGTGTCCATTTTTTTTTTATGTGGTCTGGCCTGGGGGAAAATATCGAGCATGTCCAGGGCAGCACAACAGCAGCACGCTTCGATATTTATATGTTTATACCCCTCTCCAAGCCCGCCACCAGTCGCTCAGCAGCTCCGGGACATGAGACGCTCACCCACGGAGCATTCGGCAGGCGTCTCGCGCCAGTCTCGCTCCAGTCTCGCGTCCAACAGGGCCGAGACCGCAACGCACCCCTGGCCGCAGTTCCCATGACCAGCCCGACTTCCCCACCGGTCCCCGGTTTTCCCGCTGCGCCGGCGCTCTCGGCCGCCACTTGTGGACACGGCAAAAGGCTTGAAAGCCTTGGCCGCTAGTCTTTTCCCGGGGCTGGACCGCTGCACGTCCCCCATTTTTTTGCCCCTGGGATACACAGTAAGGGCTCGTGTCGGTCTCCCGGCCTGCAGCGGCATGTCCGCTCAGGTTGATTTTTGGTCCAGCCACCAAAACTTCCTTCGCCTCATCTGATGGCTGCCCATGTGGGGACTTTTTTTCCAGGGTATGCCAGGCAGGAAGGGCTATTTGTCGGGCTTTCCGCTTTGAGTAATCCGGCGCAAACAAGCCCACCAACTCGGAGAACCCCACGCCGGCGGAGCCTCAACATGCAATGCAAACGACCAACGACGGGAAGCGCCGAGTATCCTGATTTAAATCCTCTTCAGGGGCAGTCAGGCCCGGCGCATTGGCCTTTGCTCGCTCTTTCCCAGCAGGAATGGACACTCCTAAATCCTTATTTGTACGCCTAATTGTGGCTGTATCTCGGACAACCGAACCTACCCAATGATGGAGTTGCGATGGCTTCCACGCTGGGACATGTTCAAAGGCAGATCACTTTAATCTAAAGAGATATGTCTAAATTAAAGATGGCAACCTTAACCTAGTTTTGAGGCAATAGGCACCATCACCAACAGCTAGATTAACCTCGATGTATCTAGTATTCTGGCACGAGGAGCAACTTAACGCTATGGCCAATCTTGTTAAACGCAGAGAGCGTTGATTCTTCGCAGGGGGTGGGATCGAATCGCTATCCTGTTAATCGGCCCATCATCGCTACAAGGAGTAGTTGCAGACGCCATAGTAGACCAGTGATACGCCAAGGACCCCATTCCCACCAGAATACCTTGCAGAACGCCATAAACAAGGTCTCTAGCGTCGAGGGCACCCGCAATCCAGAGATTAAGGCCTACTGTGACAAGATCGCAAGATCGAGAAGCTAGAAGCCTCTAGCTACCAAACGCCAGGGGGCCCACCAAGGTTGTCCGCAGTGCCTAAAATCGGGAGGGCACTCCCTAGAGCTAAATCGGTCGATCTATTGACGACATTAAGAGGGCTAATTCTTCCCGCTAGAGCTAGCTTCATGGGGCTGTAGGCACGGCCAACGAAGCAACAACCGACCAGGATGTCAAGCTGGAGACTCGGCAATTTTGTAGGTAGCAAGCAAAAACGTTGATCTGCTTCATTTCTATTCGAACAAACGTCCGCCATTACCAGATCAGTCTACAATTGTTAGAGGGCTTCCGTGCTCCCCGATACAGCTGGCAAGCACATTGCATCTAACCCTAGGGGCTGTTACTTGCCATTGTTAGGCATTGTTGCCCTATATTAGTGCCTGCAATTGACTGGGATGCGCACTTGTCTCAGAAAAATGGTAAAAAGCCGCAAGAGCAAGTGCGACACAGCTGGGTTGATGTCACCAAATCACCTGGATCGCGGTCGCACGCACTCTATCACCAACTATAGCCAACTTCAAATATGACCCGTCCTTTTGCTGCACTGATTTAGTCTGTCACTGCAGGCAAGCGTCTTATGATAAGCGGAAGCGCTTCGCCACCTCAATGCCCTCTGCAAACGTCCCGACGCGCGCGTCGATGGCGAACCCTTGGGCTTCCAGCTTCTTGCACTCGTCCCAGAGGCTCGAGAGCGGGACGTGGAAAACCTCGATGAACTCGCTCTCCTCCAGCTGCGGCCTGGGGTCTTGGTTCTCGGGTAGGCTCATGTCGATGCTGACGTGGACCATACGGAGATTGGTGTTGCAGAACCCCGGGTCTGGGAGAGGATCAGGAGCGACAAGTCAGCTCCTGGAACAACATAGTTGATAAGATCGAGACGGCAGCTAGGAAAATCCGACATACCATTGAACATGACGGGGGATGTCTCGGTTGCTTTCCCGACATACCCAGTCTCCTCCCGCAACTCGCGAATGGCACATTCTTCCGGCGTCTCGCCCGCGTCCATCAAGCCAGCAGGGACCTCGATCACAATCTTGTCCGTAGGGGGACGGTACTGTTTCTGCAGCACAATCTCTGGGCCTGCGATGGCGAGGCTGGTCAGGGAGAGTTCTGCGGCCCGTGCAAATACGGGAGCAACACACCTGTCGGCTTCTCGAGGATTGCCACGATGCCTACGCCATCGATATCGCAGCCCTTGGGGCGAGTTTGACGCTCGGCGGACTCCCAGGTCCTCTCGACGCCATTAGGATCTTGGTATTTAATCCTTGGCCGCAGTACCCGACATGTCAGTAGCAAGACGCCGAGAACGAAAGCAAGCGGCGCCTACTCAAGAAGCCGCATCCATTTGGCTTTGGCATCGGCCTGGGAAGGATTGTGTCAGCCAGCTACCTGGGATGACGCTTGTCAGCCATCTGTCAGACACCACGTACCAAGGGGCCCGTCGAAAGAACCTTCGCGTTGGATGCCGACATGCTGGAGGTGATGGCTGACCGACTGTTCAGGGGTTGCCTGCAATGTCCAGCTCAGCTCAGCCCAACCCAAAAGCCAGCAGGCCAATTGAAGCCCAAAAGGGTCCTCCGCCAATCACACCCACCGCCCCCACCATCGCAGATGCCGAGAGTGGAACAGGCCCAGGGATTAGAATTGTCAAGGCCGTGGTTTTTGTTGTCGCCCTTTGTGGGATTGTATTGAAATTTGATTCCTTATACATAAATAGCTTTGGATTAATGTGAATTTCCTCTTTTTTTCTTTTGTTTTTGTTATTTTTTCTGTCCTTTCCTGATTTCTTCTTTTTCTAGGCTCCTAGGTATTCTTTTTCCCGTTTCACGAGGGCCTGTTCCACCGCACTAACAATTCTAATCCCTGGCATCTGAATGGTGGAGCAGACCCGCCTTCAGTCGCAGAGATAAGCCTTATCGAGGCTTTCAAAGGGAAAAAAATTCGAGGGAGGGACCAAACAGAGGGGGACGAACCCACCACGTTTTTCTAGTCAGCAAGTTCAGCGCCGCCGCCCTGCTTTCTCCTGAAGGGCCTTGTGCGGGCTTTTCTCCCTCCTTTCTTGGTTGTTCCCATCTTACTCTTCACTTCCCGCGCGCAGACTGATTCCTTCTCCCGAAGCTGTTTCGGGTCGGGACTTTGTTCCCTTTTTGCCCTTTTTTCTCTTGCTTGTCAGAGGACGATGCCGCATCCCGTCTCGCCGCCCATGCAGCCCATCCCAACCATCGTCGTGAAGGGCGACGCCCCGCCGCCGTCGCAGGCCGACATCTCGTCGCTGTTGACCACCATCTTCGAGGCCAAGACGTCCAACGCTTCGATCGAGGCGTCGTACGCCCTCTGCGACCTCCTCCTCAACTGCCCCGGCATCGGCTTCCGCGGCCTCCACAGCTACGGCATCCTCGCCGAGGTCAAGAAGGCCGCCGCCGACAAGAAGAGCGGCCTGCGCCGCGAGAGCGCCCAGAACCTGCTCGGTGCCCTGTTCGAGCGCTTCCCGCCCCGCGAAGCCCAGAGCGAGTTCGTGTTCCTGCTCCAGGATGGCGGCATGGTCGCCTGCGCCCTCGATGCGCTCGCCGACAAGGGCGCCGTCGTGCGCGATGCGGCTCAGTACGGCCTCGACGCCTTGTTTGCCCACCTCGGCTCCGAGGCCCTTGTCGTCGGGCTGCTTTCCGCCCTCGTCGACTACCTCTCCAAGAGGACGGGCAAGTGGCAGGGCACCGTCGGCGCGCTCAAGCTGATGCAGAAGATGGCCGACAAGGCCAAGCTGTCCGTCGGCGGCACCAAGGAGGAGGCCGTGGAGAAGGATGTGCTCAGGACCATCATGGGCACCAAGCTCGCCCGCCTGATTCCGCTGGTCGAGGACGGCATGAACGACCTCAAGAGCGAGGTTGAGAGGCAGTCGCTGCAGACCATGAAATCCATCTGCGGCCTGCTGACCAACGACGACGTCGCCCCGCGGATACCGCTCCTCATCGAGACGATGCAGAAGCCCTCGGCCCAGTCACTGCAAAAGGCCATCCACGCCTTGTCCATGACCACCTTCGTGGCCATCGTCACATCGCCCGTCCTGGCTCTGCTCACTCCGTTCCTGGAACGCTCCTTGAACACGCCGACGACCTCACAGGAGGTCCTGAGGCAAACCGTCGTCATTACCGAGAACCTGACAAAGCTTGTCCACGACCCCATCGAGGCGCGTACTTTCCTCCCCAAGCTCACTCCTGGTGTCAAGAGTGTGGCCGATAGGGCGGCCCTGCCCGAGGTCCGTGAGCTGGCGACGAGGGCCTTGAGCGTCATGAACAAGGCCATGGCTGTGGATCAAGACATTGTGGTCGAGCGCACGACCGCCGACGACGTGTCCAAGGTGCTTGAGGCGGAGATCAAGAAGGCCAAGGGCCTGGCTGCCAGCCAGGACACTTACAAGGCTCTGCGATCATACATTTGCGACATGGTTGCCGAGGACGTCAACCACCGTTATGTCACCCGCATTTCTGCCCGCATCGCTCCGTACCTCAAGTCCATGACGAAGGAGATCGACGCGCACGAGACGGTCGGCATCGCGGTGGAGAAGTTCTATGTCGACGAGGACCACCGCAAGTACGGAGAGCCCGAGAAGGAGGACGATGGCGAGATCGAGATCGTCAACGCCGACTTCTCGCTTGCGTATGGTGGCATGCTGTTGCTTTCGCACACCAACCTGCGCCTCCTCAAGGGCCACCGATATGGTCTCTGTGGCCGCAACGGTGCTGGCAAGTCGACCCTGATGCGCAGCATCGCCAACGAGAAGCTTGAGGGCTTCCCGCCGCAGTCTGTCCTGCGGACGTGCTACGTGGAGCACAACCAGGGCGAGGACGCCGACATCAGCATATTAGACTTCATGATCAAGGACCCCACTGTCGCAAAGGAGAACTACACGCGCCAGGAAGTCTCGGACGTCCTTGCCGAGTTCGGCTTCACCGCCGGACCCGAGGGCCGCCAGTCACAAAAGGTCGGATCGCTCTCGGGAGGTTGGAAGATGAAGCTTGCTCTGGCTCGTGCCATGCTCCAGAGGGCCGATGTCCTGTTGCTGGACGAGCCTACTAACCACCTCGACATTGCCAACATTGCTTGGCTCGAGAACTACCTCAAGACCCACACCGACATCACGAGCTTGATAGTCTCGCACGACTCCAAATTCCTAGACGACGTCACCACCGACATCTACCACTACGAGCCTGGCAAAAAGCTCGGCCACTACAAGGGCAACCTTGCTGCATTTGTCAATATCAAGCCCGAGGCCAAGAGCTACTACACGCTGTCGGCCAGCAACGTACAGTTCAAGTTCCCGCCTCCAGGAATCCTCAGCGGCGTCAAGTCGCAGACGCGTGCCATCATCCGCATGACCAACGTGTCGTACCAGTATCCGGGGGCGCCCAAGCCCTCGCTCAGCGAGGTCTCGTGCCAACTTTCGCTGTCGTCGCGCGTGGCCATTATCGGTCCCAACGGCGCGGGCAAATCTACGCTCATCAAGCTGCTTACTGGCGAGGTGATTCCATCGACGGGCAAGGTCGAGAAGCACCCGAATCTGCGTATCGGCTACATCAAGCAGCATGCGCTGGAGCACGTTGAGATGCACTTGGAGAAAACGCCAAACCAGTACCTGCAATGGCGATACCAGCACGGAGACGACCGTGAGGTGCACATGAAGCAGACGCGCATGCTTTCGGACCAGGACCGCGAGCAGATGGACAAGAGCATCGACATTGGTGACGGCAAGGGCAAGCGGCAGATCGAGTCGCTAGTCGGTCGCGCCAAGTACAAGAAGACGTTCCAATATGAGGTGTAAGTGATTGTACCATGACTTTCTACTCGGGGTTTCTGCTCTGGGTTTCTGCTCTGGGCTTGTTGCTGACAAAATTCTGCCTCCAGTAAATGGAGAGGGTGGCTGCCCAAGTTCAACACTCAGATCTCGCGCGAGACGCTCCTCGAACTCGGGTTTGACAAGCTGGTGCAAGAGTTCGACGACCACGAGGCGTCGCGCGAGGGTCTTGGCTACCGCGAGCTGCAGCCCACAGTGATCTCGAAGCATTTTGAGGACTTGGGACTGGATCCCGAGATCGCCAACCACAACGAGATCGGATCGCTCTCGGGAGGGCAGAAGGTCAAGGTGGTGATCGCGGGCGCCATGTGGAACAACCCTCACTTGCTGGTTCTAGACGAGCCGACCAACTTCTTGGACCGCGACTCGCTGGGAGGACTGGCGGTGGCGATCCGCGAGTTCAAGGGAGGCGTTGTCATGATTTCGCACAATGACGAGTTCGTGGGCGCTCTCGCGACGGAGCAGTGGCACGTGGATGCCGGTCGGGTGGCGCACCGAGGCTACGCGGCGGTATCGCTGGATCGGTTCGAGGACTCGGTCTCTCGGCCTGGGTCCGGGCTCAACTCGGGTGTCGCGACGCCCAGCGGAGCAGCCTCGAGCGTGGTCAGCAGCGCGGTCAACAGCACGGTCAACAGTGGAGTCGAGGACAATGCGGACGGCGAGCTCAAGTTCCGGGCTCGCAAGAAGAAGAAGATGACCAAGAAGGAGGTCAAGGAGCGTGAGGTGCGCAGGCGACTCCGGCACATCGAGTGGCTCAACAGTCCCAAGGGCACGCCGCATCCTCTCGACACCGACGACGAGGCCGACTAGGCGGTTTGGAGTAGGACTCTTTGGTTCGGGCGGACTTTGCTCTTGTTGCATTTTGTCGCACGATTTGCTTTCTGGCTTACGGATGACGCTTTCCTTCCTCCTTTTTGTCTGCTCCCTCGATGACGGCGGGATAATTTCTGGGACCAATAGATGATAGACAGACTCTTGACATGGCTAGGACTGTTTCTAGAGTCGGGCAGAGGGCCCGAGATGTGGAAGCCTAAGATTTGGCATAGACGGCGTTTCACTATAGATGGAGGTTGATGATGCCTTGGAATTAAACCATCTTTAACCACGTTGGGTCCACGAGTGAGGTAGCAATTCTTGTGCGAGGGGCTGCTGCCATGGATAGCCTGTGCTGATGGCTCTGTCGCCCTGACAGGGAGCTCACGAACGGCGCAGACCCGGTCCCAGGGCCAAGTCGACGACGAAAATGGCGCAGCTGTTTTGGCATGCTGGACCACCCCACCGGTTGGACCAGTTGATCAAAGGCTGGAAGTCCTAGAGTGCCAGCACTCGAGTGTCACTGCATTTCTAGTTCGACTCATTCACGAGCGCGAGAGAGACACCCCCACGTCACTTGGTGCTGTCCAACGGCCGCCCATTGGCTGGGGGGCTAAAAGGGTGCGGCACCGGCTGAGCCCAACCCCAGCGGGCATCAAATTGGTTTTCCGTCCTGACGTCACCGCCGATCCCCCCTCCTCGAGGCTGTGCTGCGTGATGGCACCGGCATTCCAGGGGACTCGACGGATGACGAGATGTCATGACAGCATTGAGGAGGAGATTGTGTTGAAATAGCCCGCCGAGTTCTTCTCCCCGCGAAAGCGGATTTCGTGTTCTCGGTTGTTCCAGACAAGCCTTCAAAACAAGCCTTTTTGCCAACCGCTCCAAGCTCCAACCTTTTCCACGATCCACCAAGAGCCTCTTTATCTCGAATCTCTTTTTGTCCCCTTTTGGAGCCAGCGCTCCACCAATTTTTTGAATCATCTTGGAAAAAACCCTTTCCACTAAAAAAAAAAAAATACCAACAACCATGCCTCTCTTCTCACGCCACCCCGAGCCCGCCAGGGAGGAGGTCCCTCCCCCGCCGCCCCCGGCCGAGGAGCCCCGGCGCGGGCTGTTTGGGCGCTCCAGAAAGGGCTCCGCCACCCCCGGCAACCGGTCACCGCCGCCGCCCGCGGGCGCGGCGGTAACGCGGCGGCGGTCAACCGACATGAGCGGAAGCAGCAGCGCCAGCTCCAGCGACGGCGGCTCCAACCCCAACGGGCGGCGGCGGCGGTCGCTGCTGCAGCGAACCTTTGGCAACGGGTCGTCGTTGTCCTCCTCTTCGTCAGCAGCAGCAGCAGTCGCGGACCCGTCGATCCTGGCGGCGCGCGAGCGCGTCATGAGCGCCGAGCGGGCCGAGCGCGAGGCCGACCGGGCCATGGAGGTGGCGCGGCGCGAGGTGGCCGAGGCCAGGGGCGAGGTGCGCCGGCTCGAGGCGGAGCTGCGCGAGGAGGCGCGCCTGGCAAAGATCAAGGCCGGGCACGCGCGCGAGGTGTCGCGGCGGGCCAAGCCGCTCGGGCGTGAGTTTGCTTCTGTTTTTTGATGTGCTGATGTGCTGATGTGATTTTGTCTTGCTAACTATGTCTTTTGTTTTATGCAGGTAACCACGGGTTCTAATCGGGTGAGGGCCGGGGTGTAGGATATGGTTTCTTTTTGCGCGTGTCAACCTCGCGATCTGTGATTTTGCCTGCTGTAATTGCTTTCGCGGTTCGTCTCTTGTAGCGTTTGATCGTGTTTAGTATGGTGTGTGTATACGTAACCTTGCCTTATCCGTGCGACAATGTATAATTACCAAGACCATAAGGTCCATATTCTATTCAAGTCAAGTGCAGGTATCTAAACTATGTGTTCATAAATCATGGCGAACCTCCTGAAATGCCAATGACCCGGCTTGCTAGACTTTGTGACCTGCACTCCGTCTCCCGTCTTGGGGTAGTGCAAACCTGGACATGATGTTCGACCCGACCAAAGCAAGAGGAGAAACGTAGAGAGGATAAAAGTCGAGACAAATTCCAGGTGGCCAGCGTGCTCAAAGAAAGACACGACAACAAATACGGCTCCGCTCCCGGTATCATGGATTAAACAAAGACAGCTGAAAAGAGTGCACGCTATTATCCGTCGCCGAAGTGAATTACGTATTGTCAAGCAGAAAATCATAAAATCACACCGTCATCCTCAAACGATGCCGCGCAGCACGCCACCGACAACCCCTGCGGCGGCGACGGCCATGGCGGCGCCCGTGCAGCGCGCGGCGGCGACGGCCACGCCCGAGCTGCTCGACGACCTGACCGACGTGGAAGTGGACCTCGCGCTGGACGCAGACGTGGGCGTCGGGCAGTTTGCCGTGCACGGCAGGGCGGTAGTAAAGGGCGTCGGGGCGCGGGCGCCCGTGGGGCCCCCGACGACGGTGCCGCTGGCGCTGACGGCGAAGACGGGCGGCTGCGCGTCCGAGGCCGGGTCGGGCACCACGTCGGGCGCGTCCGGGTTGAGCACGCCGTCGACGAGGTGCACGACGCCGTTTGCGATCAGTATGTCGGGCACCACCACCTTTGCGCTGTTGACGAAGAGCTGGTTGCCCGAGCGGCGGATCGACAGCCGGGCGCCGCCGCCGCCCTCGCCGCCGGCGGCCGTGGACAGCTTTGTGCCGTTCTGCAGCGCCGACGCCGGCGTGACCTTGCCGGGCACGAGGTGGTAGCGCAGCACGCGGCGCAGGTCGGCGGCGTCGAGCGACGTGAGCGACGGGCCCAGGAACTGGAAGGCGGCCGTGACGGGGGCGAAGATGGTGACGTCGCTGGCGTCCGACATGTCCGGGATGACGCCGGCCGCGTAGCAGGCGGCCACAAAGGCCGACAGCTCGGCCCGGTGCGACGTCAGGCCCGCGACCTCGAGGCGGCGGGGCGCCGTCATGAGGGCGTCGGCGACGTGGACGACGCCGCCGGCGAAGCGCACGTCGGTCTCGACCAGGGTGGCGCGCGAGCCGCCGCCCGACGTGACGACGACGTCGCCGCCGCGCTGCTTGTCGAGCGTGGCGTGCTGGCCCGCCGTGACGTTTGTGAGGGACCGGTCCGTGAGCTTGGTGGTGGCGTACAGGCGGCTGCCCTCGGCGATGCTGGAGAGCGGGTACGAGCCCACGAGGGTGTGGTACTCGAGCAGCGCGTTGACCTGCGTCCTGTTCTTGGCGTCGAAGTCCTGGATCCGCGCAAACGAATCGTTATTGGGCGCGATGAGGGTGACGCCGCCCAGCGTGGGGAGCTGGAAGAGGTAGTCGGTGTTGTTCTGGCGGGGGGGTGTTAGTGCGTGCTTGGTGGGTTCTGATGAAAACATGATGAGAAATAGTACCTTGACGAGGTTCCAGAAAATGGAAAGCTCCGGCTTGCTGCCGAGGATCCTGTCCAGGTCTGCCGGCTTGTCCTCTGCGGCGGAGCAGCCCAGCAGTGTGGAGAGCGAGAGTATCACGGGCAAAGACCCGGAGAGTGTGCTGGAGAACCTCATGATGAGATGTGTGTGTTGTGTGCTGTTGGCTGTGGTTTACACAACCTATCCCTTGTTGCTTCGACTACCAGATAGGGCTGTGAAGCAAGCCAGCAGTGGGCGCAAAGCTGCACTTCAAACAGCCGAGACTGTATAGCAAACGGCGTGTAAAACGATTGTAAAAGGCTGCAACACCACAAGCGAGTGTGAGTGGGTGGGATGACGGGGGGAGAAGCCTGGGATGGATGCAGGTCCAGCGTTTGATATGTACCCAGTATTCCGGTTGTGTCGAGAAGAGGGGCTGGTTGGAGCAGCTACTATCAGGTCAAGGCAGGAGACATGCACACATGGCCGCGCCCAGCTGCACGCCCTGGCGGTGGCCCGAGGCGGGGACCTGTGGGCGGGCGTGGGAGTGGTGCTGCTCCTCGTGTCTGGCGTCATTGGTGTCTCGCCGCCATGCAGGACAAGAGGGACTGTAGATTGGGATAAGCAGTCGTGGTAGTTTTCCTTTTTCGTTTTTTTCTGTTCTTTTTTCCTCTGGCCTTCTTCCCTTGCGATCGTCTCTGCATGGGGGTGGTGGCGAGCTGATGGTGTCGAAACACGGCATTGATCCAAGACAGCGGAATCGATTGGCCGCCGCCGCGCCCATCTGCTACCCAAGGCTGGCAAAGGGGGAGCGCTAGAGGCAGCCAGCTAGCGGCCAGAGGCGTGCTTGTTGCCGCAGCCCCAGCATTTTGCTCTTCTCCCGCATTGCTTTTCCAGGCTTGGCCGCAATCAATATCACGGTCAATCCAAGGCACCTCGCTTCGACATCAATAGCGATCGTCCCGGCTCCCGAGACCCTGTCAGTAGTTTTACGCTAGGTCGCCAGACGGTTATCTATACTGACAATATCGACTAGGAAAGGAAAACTCTTCAACGCCACAAAAGAAGAAAAGCAATTGATCCCTTGCCTGCCAGCTCGCCCAAAGCGCCCAAAATAGCGGGCCAACCAATTGCCGCAACGGCCTGGCCTTGAAAAGTGCGATACGAGAAAAGTCGGGTGGATCAGCAGCCCAGCAAAGGTCACCGTCGGACCATGAAACTGGATGGGAAACTTGGAAGCTGCAGCCCACCCCCAAACACGGTCACTGCACCCACTCGGCAGACAGCCAACTTTTGGATGCGAGTAGAAAATGGTGAAGTGGGGGGAGAGAGGGGAAAAAAGAAGGAGCCAAAAAAAAAAGAAGCCAAAAAAAAGTAGGCAAAAAAAAAAAGCTCGTGTTCTCGTCAGGGCCACTTGCACCATCGTTTTGCCCTCCACTTACTTGCTTTTCTCTCTTCCTCAGCCGTCCGGGGCCGGGTGCGTTCTACGTCGCACATATACATGCGCTGCTCCGCTCCTCCGGGCCACGCCAAGGGGTAGCTCCAACCCCCATCTCCCCTGTGGCGGCCGCCACCCTGCTGTCGTGACACCCGAGGCGCCGCGCGAATTCATGCCCTCACAACACGCGCGCACACCCCTCCCCCATGTCGGTAGCCGCCGCTGGGTGTTCGTGTAGCCGCCGCGGGGACGTGTGTTCTGCAGTGTCATGCGAGCCGAGATGAACTTTTTTTTTTTTCTCTCTCTCTTTCACGGACAGGACTAGTGGGGTGGCTGGCGTGGTCCGTGGGGGTCACACGAAAAAGCCCGACTTGTCGATGCTAACCTTTTACGCCCATGGGCGATAGGGCATACTCTCGGGATGGCTTTGCCTTGCCGGGACCCCCCTCGGCAGCGAGATAAGGAAGGAGGCTAGCCAGGTAAGGGGTTCCCGTTCGCCGGGCCGTCAGGGTTGCACGGAGGCGAAAGGAACTACCCGACGCAAACCAGCCAGCCACATGGGGAAACGGCATTGCCTATCTGTCGCGCGCCGCCCAAGCCTCTGGCGTGGCCGAGCTCGATAGCGCCCCATGATGGCCGGCGGGCAAGAGGGCGTGGTGGCTCGCTGGCTGGGCCGCGTTATCACCTTCCCCTGGCGGTGACGTGGCCGAGACAAAGCCGCGCGCTTTTCGGGCGAGGACGAAAGCTTTCTGTTTGCCTACGGGCGATAGAGATGGAGAGATAGAGAGCTGCAAGAACAGAAACGCACGCACACCGCAGGCCATCCGCTGCTGCTGCTACCGCTGCTGCTGCTACCGCTGCTGCTGGAGCGGTGGAGCAAAGTTGCACCGCATTCGACGGGCCGACTGTTTGCCCTCGACCGACAGCATGTGCAGGAGATGCGTGCCCCGGGTGGGGGGGAAACAGCCTGCTGTGAGCCGGCGTCGGTCTCGGGGAGGGGAGAGATGGTGAGGCTGGCGGACTGTGGAGGGACGAGCCGAGGGCTGATTCGAAGGGAAGTTACTTGGCAAGAGTACTACTAGTTGTTGTAACGGGAAAGATATCCTACAGTTCTCGGGTGAATGGTATGTAGATTCTGTTGCAGGTCCGTCATGTCATTCCCAGGGGATTGAGAGACCATGCGGGAGAGAAAAAAAATCCAACTACGGGAGATGTTTTGGCGGTGGTAATGAGGCGGCTCCAAGGGTACAGCGCAGATGAAATGTTGCAAGTCAAGTTACTGTGCCTGTCTAGTTTATGTCCACCAAGCGCCGATGTGCCGTTTTCCTTCATCCCCTGCTGTATATCAGGCTATCCACAAAAACAAAAAAGGAATGTCCCCGACTCTTGGTATATGGGATTGCTTAGGAGGGTGTAAGGAGAGGAAAGAAAAAGGAAAGGTCAAAAAGATAATACGGGCAAACATGGAGTCGTCAGAATTAGACATGAGTGTGTAGAGACCGAAAAGGCGACAGTATCAGCCGATGAAGCAAATGATGTTGTGATTAACCCTTCTTGTTTGGAAAAGAAGGAGGCCTATCCTCCTTAGATTTATAAAACACGAAACCCAGGTAGTGAGAAAGAAAAGAAGAAAAAAAAGATTCATCCAGCAGGACCCCAACCCCCGAGATTACCACGAGAAGGTCATCAGGGCCGGGTTCAGGGCCAGGGGCAGTAGCAGGTGCGAGGCGGCGACGGTGGCCATGGGCAGGATGGCGACAAAGTCGGTGATCTTCCAGTCGTAGGGCACAAAGGGCGCGACGGCGAGGATGATCATGCCGGCGATGAAGACGGAGGCGAAGAGCATCGAGAACTTGAACTTCTTGAGCACCTTGGGCACCTCAATGAAGAAGTTTGAGAACTCGGCCTCCTTGGAGGTGGCGCCCCACGTCATGTCCACCTCGAACATGTGCGCGAGCAGCGCCTGCGACACGTGCAGCGACAGGCCGCCGAGGAAGATGGCGAGCATGAAGGTCCACTTGAGGTTCTCGAAGAGCGCGTACAGGAGCGAGCGCTCGCCGAGCCGGTACCGCATCACGGCCAGGGCCAGGTTGCCGAGCCCGTTGAAGACGATGATGATGGAGAACCAGACCTGCCACGAGTCGACGTAGTACTTGTCCAGGTAGCCGTTGTACCAGCCCATCAGGAAGTAGTTGACGGCCGTCATGATCCAGGCCGCGCCGATGGCGTAGTAGGTGCCGATGTAGGACACGACCGTGATCTTGGACGTGAAGCGGATGTTGCTGAAGAGGAAGCGGCGGAACAGGGGCGTGAAGGGGCCCTTCCAGAGCCACATGCGGATCGGGTGGAAGAGCAGCTCGTTGCAGCCGTAGGCGTACTTCTCCCAGCGCGCGAGCTCGTCGTACACGGTCAGCGACACGCCCTCCTTGAAGCCCTCGCCGGCCCAGGCGGCCAGGCGGATGATGTAGCCGGCGCACTGGAGGCGGAGCGACATGTCAAAGTCCTCGGACACGTGCGACTCGGACCAGAACTTTTCGTACCCGTCCTCGTCCTCGTACGAGACCTGCTGGATGGCCGACCAGCGCAGGATGGCGTTGTGCCCGACAAAGGGCGCCACGTCGCCGTTGGAGACGGTGTAGCGGATGGCGCTGTAGATGAGGTTGGTGAAGAAGGTGATGCCGTTCTCGAAGTAGGTGTGGACGACCTGCATGACGCCCGACGAGAACTGCATGATGCCGACGTCGGGGCTGTGCTCCATCTCGCTGACGGCGTCGAGCAGGCAGTCGGCCGGCACGCGCGTGTCCGAGTCGATGATGAGGATGTAGTCGCCCATGCGGATGTTGCCGTCGGCCCACGCGCGCCCGTCCTGCTCGAGCGTCTCCTTGAGAGCGCGCTCGTAGGCCTGCGCCTCGTCGTTCTGGGTCCAGTCGTTGCCGCGCTCGATCGCGAGGAGCTTCTCCTCGACCTTGCACGAGATCATGAGGGCAAAGTTCATGTTGGAGGCCTTCTTGAACTTGCCGCGGCGGAGGAAGCCGTTGACGTTGTGGCCCGGGCGCGCGACCCAGCCGATGCTGTGGTCGGCGTAGAACTCGATGCGGGCTCGGCGGTCCTCCTCCGAGATGAGCTGCAGGCCGTCGTCGTTGATGAACATGTTGGCGGACCCGCCCTGGAGCTCGTAGGTCGACATGGCCTGCTTGATACTCTTGACGGTGGGCGCGATGACACCGGCGAGACCCTCCTTGTAGACGGGGCACTGGACGGTGACGTGGGGCAGGATGGCCGTCTGCAGGCGCGGAGAGGTGCGGGCCGAGTAGAACTTGGAGTTGATGGTGAGCTGACGGATGGGCCCAAAGATCTGGGCCAGACAACCGATGATGACCTGGGCGAAGAAGAGGGTGAAGAAGATCTGGAGCGGCGCCAACGCGACGAGCGCCAGGCGCACATAGGTGCCGTCGACGGAGCACTCGATGGCCAGCTGCCTCCAGGCGGCGCCGAGCGAGACGGTGACGAGGATGAGGGTGAAGGAGACCAGCCACGTGTTGAGCAGGTGCACCGGCCGCTTCTCAGGCTTGATCTCGCCGCTCTCCTCGTCGATCTCGTAGTCGTTGGCGTCGGCGCCCCCCTTCTCGTCGTCGTCGCCCTCAGTCCCGGCCTTCCAAACGAGCTCCATGAGCTCTGACTCAATGGCCTTGGCGCGCTGCACCAAGTGCAGCGCGTCGTCGTCCCACACGACGAGCAGGCCCTCGGACGCCACGAAGGCAGCGAACTGGTGTTTCCTGGCCCGCGGCAGGTCCTCAATGGTGGGCAGGATCTGCACGCGCAGGCCGTTCATGAGCGGCACGTCGACGGCGTCGGGCGACCATTGCAGGAACGTCTTGATGACACGCGAGTTGACCGTCATGGCACACTGTCGTCCTCGGTGGTCAGCACATGCACGACATGGAAAACAAGGTCGGCGATGCTGCTTACCTGCACGTTGAGAGCCGAGCACGCCACGGCAAACTGTGAGTTGCCCAGCTGGGGCGGGCAGGCCATGTACTGGCCCCTGGTCTTGCGCAGGAGGACGCCCTCGACCTCACCGCTGCCGTCTGACACCCAGAGGTGCGAGCACTGCTGTTGGTACAGGTAGTTGACCATGACCTCGTGCTTGATGTCGTCGAGGAACATGGAGCTGGCGTTGGACCGCACCGACTTGCCCGAAATGGACTGCGGCCGCGAGCTGAAGCGCGTCGAGGGCGGCTGCAGCTCCAGATCGTTGCCCCCTGCCTGGCCTTTCTCTGACATGCCGAGCCCGTTGCTGTTGGATGCCGAGCCGCGGCCGGCATTACGGTGGGCCTGCGGCGGCGCCGTCGGCCCCTTGCCGGCTGCAGCCGGAGGGGCTGGGCCTGCTGCGGCCGCCGCGGGGGCGTCCGCCTTGAAGTAGCTACCGATACCCATGGCGGATGGAGTAGGAGGCCGTGGATATTATTACGTATTGGGGAACAAGACTTCCCGTGAGAGCACCCAGGGCACTGTCACAGGGAGGCAGTCCTATTTGAGTCCCAAGTTAGCATGGCCCTGGCCTTCCGGAAACCGGGACTGTATCTGTCGGCAGCTAGATGTAGTCCGCGGTGCGACCAGTTCCTGCCCGCCGCCCACGCCACAGAGAGTGGTGCCGGGACGGCGAGATGGAAGTTGCCCCAAGGCGCTCGGTCTCACGGGGTTGGAGGGTTGCTCGAGGTTCGTCTCACCTTGGACAGGGTATTCCCCCCTTCCCTGTTCCACCAGGTATGTTGCAACCCCAAGTTCGTGTTTCCAACAGCCCGTGCTTCCCACGCTTTGCGGCGTGCAACCCAACACCACAGGCCCTAGCTTGGCCTTCTTTCTCAACGAATGGCAGGGCAGAGCACAAGCAGCTGCTGTGTCCCTCGGCAGGTATGTCGTGGGTGGTGGAAGCGAGTGTGTGGGGTTCCGAGTATTATAAATATGGCAGAGAAATAAAAAGCAGCAAACGGACAAGCGAATGTGGGCGGTCGTCAAGTCAAGTTCGTAGCGAACGGACGGCCCTCATGGAGGAGTGCCTAGGTATTAACAGCTGAGCGGCGACAGCTTGGCGACCAGGGTCCACGAGCTGCAGGCGGAGGCGGGTATTATTGACCCTTCAGGTCTGGCGAGGCCTTCGGACCCGGTCCTGTGCAGGAGGCCGCGGGTGAAGGAGGGGGGGAGGGATGATACCAACTTGCAGATAAAACCAAAAACAAAGAAGGAGGAGCGGGAGGAGAGGAAAAAGAAGGCGGCGAAAAGCGCAAGAAAAAGAAGCGAGTGTGGTGACAGCGACCACAGCGCGCACGACAGGCCAAGTTCCACATCATCCACCGACCAACCCCTGAGCCGATTGGGACCCTGTCCTGGCGTGGAGGGGAGGGGGTGAATCGCCATCTCTCTTTGGTCCCTATTCGGCTGCCATTTCTTCTGCTGCGCTTGCTCATCCGAGCTCTGGTCCCGCCGGCAGCATGGGTGCCTCCCCCCTCCGCAGGCGCTGGTCGTGACAGCGTCACAGCGAAGAACCACCAGTTCAGGCCTGACAAGGATCCTCCACGGGGCGTGTCACAAGGGTCAGGGGGTGGGCTGGTGAAAGAGTAGAAAAAATAATAAAAGAATAAAACATAAATTACAAAGAAATCTTTTTTTTGTTTCCTGCAGGAAACTGTGGGGCCCTCAATACGAAAGGCCAGCCGCAGAAACTGGGAAGACGCAGCGGTAGCCCAGACGCGACCTGCGGCGCTAACGAGAGGCGCCTGGGCCAAACTGCGACCAGCACAGGGGAACAAAAAAAAACAGCGTAATAAAACACAGAAAGGGTCCAAACGCTCAGGGGACAAAAAGCAAAGGTCGAGAGATAGCGCCGTTGTGCGTTGGAAATAGTCTCCTCGGCGTTATCAATGGTCGCTGACCTGGAGAGCCACTAGACCGCAAATCAGGCTGGCTTCCACCCACATCTTCCAGTGTTCCTGACTAGGGGAGCAAGGGATGGGGGGCGGCCAGGCACACCAGCCCAGCGCCTGCAGGAAGCACCAGATAACCAGCGGCGGGGGCACAGCGAGGTGCGGCGGGCCGGAAGAGAGGTCAGAGAGCAAGATCGGGGAGCAAGATGCTATGCGGTCAGCCTGACCTCGCAGAGTCAGAGAATAGCAGCATCAGCCACCTGGCTGTGGAGCCCAGACTGCCTGGCTTTGATGTTTGGTTCAGTGGTGCGATTGCCCTACAGCCAGGGACCCCCTCGCCTGTCAAGCAAAGCCGCACTTCGGCCCCCCACGGGCCCGGTCTGGCCAGCTCCCTCGCTGTTCCCGATCACAGGGGTGTTTCTGGCCTGTGTGGTTTTCTAGCCTGCTGCTCGCTTCTGCTTTTGCTTGCCAATCCGATACTGCCTGACGCCCAGGAGTTCCAGCCTTCTCGGCCATCACAGGGTGGGGAGTGATGGGCGTTTTGTTCTGAGCTCAGCCGTCGGGGTCACAAAGTTGGCAGCAAGCATGCAAACCCAATCGAGCTGATCAGCCGCCATGATAGGAAGAAACCCGAGGCGCTGGCACGCTAGCCTGCTGAATTGTCTGGCGCGTGTGAGGGGGCCAGCCACACCCGGGCTCCCGCAGCGCCTCTTGCGCCGTCAACTGATGGCTGCTACTGCTGGAGCTGCTGGGCGTAGGTCGCCGGTCCGTCTGCGGGTGCCCTGCCCGTGCAAACATTCCCATCGTTTGGCGGCCAGACAGACGGGGGCCGCCGCATCTCGTCCAATATTCCGGGTGCGGGCTTTTCAGCCCTGACCTTTCCATCTGGGCATCCGCCTTTGGCTGCCTACATACCCGCAGTGTGAATATCTTCCGTCTTGGCCTTGTCCTCGGCAATACTCAGCTCGCCGTCTTGGTAGTCAAAGCTTTGGAGAGCCCACTGGCGGAGAGCGCATCGCCAAAGAGGCCAGGTGGGGGCGCGATGACGCAGATGTGGGTGATACAGAAATAGATGCTTTGAAATGAGCAGGATAAAATGCCGCGCGATGCGTCGAGGCTGGTCACAGCGAGCGACTTTTGCTAGTATGAGATAGTGCATGGCAGGATTGTCGCTTGCATGTTTTTATTTTATTTGAGTAGTTTAATTTTTATTCTCCATGGATTTATCTATTTTTCTTTTTCTTGTTTTCTTTTTGCTCCGCTCCTAGCAATTAAACCTAAACCCTCACCCCGCCTCGCTCGTCCTGAGCTCGCCCCACTCCCAGCCAGGTCCAAGTTCTTCTCCACTGCCAGCACGCAACACGCAACTCACGGCATGCAACCAGGGCCAGGTAGGGCCCCCCAGCTACCTATTCCAGGCTCCTCTATCGCCAGGAACTGGTGCTGTACCCGACCACGGGTCCTGCCATCTGCAGTCAGCAATCTGGCTGTTAGAGCTCTGGACATATCGCCGCTGCTGTTTCGTCCCGCCGACTTCCCGGTGTCGGGTTTCCATGTCAATCGTGCCGGCCGTCGCCAGGGCTGGCGGGCTGAGCTGAGCCGTCAACCCTTGTCGCCAGACATGGGCAGCAGCCCAGCTCAGCCTGAGACCGCCCGTTCCCTAATGGTCTTCTCGCCAAGCTGGTTAGCCTCTCGTCTCCGACCCAAATCGGCTGCGGTGCTCTCTCACTCAGTCTCCGACAAGCATGCCGACACGCAAATGCCGTGCTGACCTCAGGGGGAGAAAATCCAGCTTTGCAGCTCACAGGGGGTTAAGGTGATGTGTGGCTTGACGATTCGTGGGTGTGCTCCATAACCCTATCTGATGGGACCTTGGCCATCTGACTGGGCAGAGGGTCTGCAGCGATGTGTCGGAGGAGCCAGCCGCTCCAGGCCATATCTTGCTAGCCTCGCGGGGCCACAGCAAATCAAGGCAGAAAGCACGCTTCCCACTCTGCAGGTCCTGCGATGGATCGCTTCTGAAATGTGACTGGCCAGGACCCTGTTTTCCTCGCCCTTCTGCCCAACGGCGGCGGGCAGCATGGAGACAGGATGAGCCCGTTCTTTTTCTTTCTTTTGTTTCGGAATCGCTATTTTTGGTCGTTGACCACGTCGCCGCCTCTCAGATGCCGCCACTGCTCGTGTCCACTCGCATCCTCCTCTCGTCAGCACACGTTCTCCACGTCTGGGCGCTTGGCAGGGCCGTGTTGGAAAACGAGACGTAAGCCACAGATCCGCCTGTCAACCGGAGGGCATGACTTGATCGCGGTGCGCGCATGAGCATCAGTCACTGGTGCGACCGGTCCTCGCCAGGGCCACCAGCTGAGCCCCTAAAAAGTGTCAGGACCCGGCGGGGAATTTGCCAAACTGCTAGAGGGACGGGTCTGCAGAGATAGCACGCCCGCAGCGCGCGTGCCATTACATGGGCCAAATTACAGGCCTTCCGCCGGTCGAAGCGCTGGTGTCGCGCGCTAGCGGCGACCCTTTTCCTTTCTCCTTGGGCGCGACGCCACCATACGTGCTATCGACTCTCTGCGGCGCGGTGCTCGCAGTCAAGGGTGGCCGCCCGATCTGTGATGTGACCAGGCATGCGCAGCACACTGGCCGCGAGTCGCTAGGGGCTGTTGCGCCCTAGCGGGGTAATCCTGATGGAAAGAAAGCCTGCCCACGGAGCATGTTGAGGCTGGCTGAACACGCCCCATCAACGTCTTTGCCCCTGACACTTATGCAGGAGAGAGCCCCTCGAGGCGGCGCCACCCTAATCCCAACGTCGGCAGCCCTCATTCTAACTTCCTACGGCGTGACAGGCTAGCCTGCCACATGTGTGTTCGGCTGGTGCCGAAGCCGACCCGGGCGAGTCGAGGAGATCGACCTTGGAATCTCCGAGGAGGGCATAAACACATTTCCGGGATCACAGCACTGGCCGCTGGTCGAGCCCGCCGGCGAAGAGGAAACCAAACCTGGAGCTGGGAACCGACGAGGCGATGTCTAGCGTCGCTAGCAGCTCGATAACTCTCCGGGAATTTTTAACTGCCGCTACCGCCGGCTTGGAAGGCTGACCATGCCCTTAGTGGTGGAGACTGGTGAGATGAACAGAAGAAGAAGAAAAAAACAATGATGCCCGATGCGTGCCGGGTACCGAAATTGCGGTGATCCTCTCTGGTTAGCCCTTGCTTGGATGACGACAACGACTTTGATAAGGCGCTCTTAGCCATTTCGCGATCTGTTGGTCAGAAAAGTGTTGGTGAGGGAGAAAGAGAGGAAAACGCCCGGGCCATGATAACCGTATTGTGTACAGGAACGGCAATGTAGCCGAGCGAGATGTTGTTGAACCGCCCCGTCGACAAGAGCGCACACAGACCAAGATCCGCATTACCGGGGCGGTGTGTTATCAGTAAAATCCTTGGACTTTTGCAGGGGAGACACGCAAACCAGCCCCACCGATGCAGTGTTTTTTTTCAATCGCCTCCTCTCAATCATCTTTCGCCGGCCGAACAAGTGGCCCGCGGACCAGACCACCAAGATCCTGGGAAGGAAGCGAGGTCCAGAACGCGGGCATCTTAGACTGAAGATAGCAGTGCTTGCTAGCAAGGGCAGGACTCGAGCCAAAGGTGCTAGATGGGTCAAAAAGACTGTCGCTCTATCTCTCGGGCTCGCAGCAACTAGCGTGTGGTGGCTTTCCGAGGAGATTGTTGACAATGAAAATATTTTCTTCTGCTTATCGGCGACGGTAGCTTACACTGGCCAACCGGCTTTCCGCCTCGGGCGCCCCGAGTCGCAGAAGCAAGAGAAAAAATTCAACCGATAGACACCGTCGCCGCCCATTGCCCAGCAATCTGCTGCCAACACACACGCCTCGCCCTCCTCCCCTGGAGCTGCGAATTGCCACATTCTCCAGCCCAGGCCCCCCCCCCCCTTGCGCCGCACAAGCAGCAAGCGCACGAGCACTCGGCTCCATCACATGGCCCAATATGGCCCGTTTTGGGTATTTGTTCCTGGCAAGAGCTGAGGTGACAATGCCGAAAACTCCACCCTGTCCACGTGTTGGGCGCTGTTGGTTGGACTCTGTCGACTTGCGGACCGCATCCGGGGACGTGTTGATAGTGAGATAGGATCATCGGGATGCAAAACAACTTCCGAGTCACTACTTCCCTTTTTTTCTTTATCTTTTTATTATTGTTTGGGTCGGTTTCCTCCCGAAAAAGAATAGCCCAGGAAGATTACGGGTTACATCCGCAGGTCGTAGCAAGGAATGCACAGGATGCGGATCTGATGGCCCGCACCTGAGCCCGCGCCTACAAACAAGGGCACCCATCATCTCGTGTTTTATTTTTGTTTATTTCTCGCTTATCCTCGGACGCCCCGTGTTTTGCGCATTGGTTCTGCGTCGTCCATGACACCTTTGTACCCGAGACTCTTCCCAAAATCTCACCATCCGGGCCATGGAACAAACCCCGAAATGTCGCAGAAATTCCTTCCTTGTTACCCAGGCGGTCGGTGGTTGCCGGTTTTGAGTTTTGCGGCTCCCAACAGGACAGGCCGAGCGGGGAAACTGGCAGAGGAGACAGCATGGATGGAATCCTCCTACTGTTGGGAGAGACATGCGTCCTGGCGGCGGGAAAGAGTGGGTGACGAGGAAAAAGAACAACCCACCGTTCGTAGATACAATGCGTGTTGGCGCCGGGACGGTGGCTCGTTACAACTGGGGAAATGCGTCCATCAGTGCAATGCTGGAATTGGCGGGTGATATGTCAGGTATACTGCATAGGCCACGGGTATCTCAATAGAACATAGTGGTCGGCCATGGACGGTGCTGTGGGAGAGTATTAGGATTTTGGTCATTGTAGATAAGACTCTAGAGAACATGATTGCTGTGCCTACCAATCAGCAGTGAGAAAAACAGAAAATATCCCGGAAAATGAGACCACCAAAGTAACAGAAAAGATACGCAGGCGACCCGATGGAAGCATGAACAGGAACCAGAGCGCTTCAAACCTTCTGCGAAACCAAGAGCATCACCTGTCCGTGAAAGGCGTCGTCGAATCCCTCTATAGCCTCCAAACGCACCTGCCATTGTGTATCCAAACACCTGGCCACTTGCTGTGTGAAGCACAAATGACAAGACAAAAGAGGAACGAATTTCCCAAAAAAAAAAAAAAAAAAAAAAAGGTCCAAAGAAAAGCCGACGATACCAGTCTATTTGTAGCTCCAACGTAGAAACGAGAGTTGGACATGCAGGAGGGCAAGATCTGAATACAAGAAAATGGCGAGACGGAACCACTTAGAGCTCCTCGTTGCCGTCGTCCTGCTGCCATACCTGGACCCTGCTGATCTCCATCTGGGGCTGCTTCCAGGTGGGGTGCCAGACGTCGCGCTGCGCCCAAAAGTCCTTCTTGGCGTTGGGCGACGAGTTGAGCCAGGGCTTGTTGCTCTTGCCGTCCTCGAACCAGTTGTTTGTGCCGCCGACGCCGACGTTGAGGATCAAGTAGAAACGGTGATCAAAGGGGACGTTGTTACGGTTTTGCTCGGCAAAGACGTTGTCCAGCTTCTTACCGTCGCCCCCATACTCGGGAAAGTTGCCGCGCTTCCACAGCGGCGTGTCGAAGTTGACGTACATGGTCTGCAGCAAGCGGGAGTTGACGTAGGTGAACAGATAGTTCTGCGACCACTCGAGGCCGAACGTGTTGAAGCCGGACGAGTAGGTCGACTTGAGCGCCTGCCGCTTGTTGTTGGTCTTCCACCAGGCGTCGGTGCCCGCGTTGAGGCCCCAGTGCAGCGCCGAGGACATGATGTTGTTGCCGCCCTGGGCGTACAGGTAGTCGTTGCCGCGCGACTCCATGATATCGATCTCGCCCGACCGCGGCCAAGCGCCGTACGTCTCGTTGACGGGCATCATCCAGATGGCGGGCCACAGCCAGTCGCCTAGGGGCATTTTGGCCGTCACCTCGACACGGCCGTACTTGATCGAGATGCTGTCCTTGGTGTTGATGCGACCGGACTTGGTAGGCGGAACAATGGTTGCGTTGCCGCTGGTTGTGTTGGTCGCGGCATAGCAGTCCCTGAACAGAGTTGACGTGCAGGTGCCGTCGGCGGTGAGGTCGATCACGCTGTCCTTCGCAATCAGAGTCTCGTCCTGCAGTGTCGCCTTGATCTTGAGCACACCGCCCTCAACGTAGACGTTCTCGTCTCCACCAGTGGTTTGCTGGAATTCGCCGTTTCTTGATGCCCGGTCATGTTAGTATCAGGATCAAGCAATAGCTGCTGTCGATGGGGACCATGGAAACCACATACCCAAAGCCACCGACGGTGACCTCCTTCTTCCAAATTTCGCTCCGCAGGCCCTGCGAAAAGTTCTCGTCCAGGACCAGCTTGTACTTGTGGTGGACCACACTCCTCAAGCCATCCCAGACCAGGAAGCCCGAGATACCCAGGCCGACGAGGATGCCGAGGATGGGCAGGATCGTGACCCACTTCTCCTTGGGGTCTGTCTTGGCCAGCCACGGCTTCTCGACCTCGCCCTTGCGCACCCTCCTGCTCTGGAAGTAGCGCTGCGCGCGCTCCTCGAATCGGTTGATGCCGCTGGCCGAGCCGACAGTAGACTCGGGCCGCGAGCCCGAGGGGGTGCCGAAGGGGTTGGTGCCGCCGTTGCCGGCCTGCGGGCCCGCCCTGTGTGAGGCCTGCGACTCGAGGCCATCGCCGAAGGGGTTGCGCTCGTCGGGTGTCGTTGGCCTGTGCGTGGGCGTGCCCTGTGCTGTCGACGCCGCCGACGGCTGGCCGGCCACCGGACGGCCGTAGTACAGATCCATCGCTACTTGCGCTGCTGTGCTGGAGCGACGGTGAAGAGGGGAGCGACGAGGCGAGCTTGCTTGCTGCTGGAGCCCCTGGGCGAGGCGAGCTTCTGGCAAGCCGCTCCGATGGAGGATGACCGGTGTTTAGATGTTGTGCGATGACACTCGAATTAGAGTTAGGATTTGCTCCTTGGTGCCGCGAGAATCAGAAGAAGTCTCCGTTTGAAGTTCTTTGTAAGGTGGAGGGTTAAAAACGAGTGTGGGCAGCGGAGCAGACTTCAGTGGGCTAGTCGCTGGGGGGGTGTGGCGTGGAGCGCAGATCCAGACGGGGACCTCGCTGTGGGACGGAGAGACAAGAACGATCGTGGGGGGTGTCAATGGCCCGTAAAGAGATTTGAGCAGAGACGCTTGGTGCCGTGTGACGAGGGAGACAACAGGGTATCAAAGGCGCCGAGACAGGGCCAGACGAGCGAGAAGAAGAAAAAGAACACAACGAACGACTGGATGGGTGGTGGTTTGGGGAGTGAGGTGACAAACGTCGGAGCAAGAGAAAAAGGGCGCTGGGTCTGGGTGTGAGAGTTGAGGGGTGCAGTTGGATTCTGCTCAAAGCCAATCGTATCGGGTGTGTCCGCCTGGGTCAGGTACCTCAGGTGGGCCCAGTCGTGATTACATAACCCACAAACCACACGCCTCTACGGCCTTTAGCTAGCAGCTTTTTTAAGGCACCGTGGATGACCCCTACCGCCGGGCTGGCCCAGATCAAATGTCAAGCCCGCAGAACAAAGGCCTTCCCCTGACTAGCGACCGGCCGAGCGTTTGGGACGTGCTCCAAGCGGCGAGCACATTTTCCTCGGCCGATAGTTTGCGAAAAGGTCACAACTGGTATCCTCGTTTGATGATATCGCTGCGGCCTACCTACCACTACACCAATGGACGCACGTCACCCCCGCCATCCGCAACCGCGGCCTGGTTTGTCTCAACCACGGCGCAGCTGCTCAACGAGAGACATGGCCACGGCTCGCAGACGATCCATGGAACCGAACACCATCCTTGGGTGGATCCAGGGCTGAACTGGAGTCGCGACAACCCAAAGCCACGTTATTTTCCATGACTCTCGTGTTTGGCACCATCGCTCTCGACAAGCGCTATTGCCTCCCCCCCTGGGCGTTTGCAAGAGCTGAAAGCTTGGGGAGAAGCGACGGGAACATGGCGGCTCGATCATCGTCAGAACTTCACCCTTGCTGCCTAGGAACACACGCTGATTATCTCTCGCTGTTTGAGCCAACTTTGTGTGTCCCGACCCGGCGGCGGCGGCCGCGAGATACGGTCATCTCGACGCTTGACGTCGGCGGCGACGATAGACGTAGCAGCCCGTGTGCTCGTGTCGACAACAGCCACGGGAGATCCCCGTCGCTCCATCGTCGAGAGCGTCTGCGCGAGCGAAGCTGGCGGTTCGGCGTAGCGGAGCCTACTTCCCCTTTGGGCTCGTCATTTAATCTTGCCTAAAAACAGTAAGAGCTAGGACCACTGAGCAGGTGTCTTCCCCTGTCAACAGTCATCCCATGTCTTGCAGGGTGTGCCTGTTCCCAGTTGGTCGTAGCGCCGCCCAAGCGCCAGAAACTGCTACTTCTTTGGGGCTAGACTCGCAGTCAAGATCGACCTATTGCCCCGAGATGGTAGCTGCATGAGAAGCCCCACTCTTCCTTCCGCTGCAATTTCCACATCCTGGGCTTTTTTCTTCTTCACCTCTTCCGTGAACGATAGCGCTCGGGCCGACACCAGGAGGGAGGAGGCGTGTGCCTTCGAAATCCTCCTATGCAGGCAAGGAAGAAGGCCGCAGGGCGATACGAGAAACCACCCTCCCACAGTTTGCCCTCTTCAGGCAATCGGACGAACCAGCGTCGGCACCGCTTCCCCCAAGTCCCGTGATATTGGCGGCAAGCGTCGGCGGCAGCTTGGTGGCTTCTGCGTTTGGGCCGGGCGCGCTCCTTTTTGCTCACTAGTCCAACTGATTTCCCTTGCCGCCCGACCCGCGAGAGCAAACGGCCAGGGGGACCCGAATGGCTTCCTGTTTGCGTGCCGCCGCCCCGTCTGTCCCTCACGCCTATCGCTGGGCACACGTGCCTGGGCCGAGAGCACGGTGGTCTGCCAGGGCAGAGACCAGAGCTGCCTGGGCATCGCCGCAAACCGGCTGGCGGCCATCTCCTGCCAAGTCCAGCTCCCAGCGGGAGGGAGATATGCGGAGGCCGATCAGCTCAGGCAAGCGAAAAGGAAAAAGGAAAAAGGAAACCCAACGAGAATGCCAAGCTACGTTTATTGGCAGCTGTGCTGCGCTGGTGGCCTGCTGGTTATCGCTCTTCCTCACTGCGGGCCTCCGACGCGTTGGTCAATCGCTGAACGCATCCTTGCCTTTCTTGCCTTCCCGGTCTGGTGCCATCTTCAGGGATTTTGCATGCTTTCTGCATCAAGCACGTCCCCAAAACCCACAAGCCTTCGTTTTTCTTTTCGTCCTTGGCCATCATCGCATCCCGGCCCGTTCGCCAGCGCACGTTAGCCAATCGCGACCCCTCCTGCTTCGCCCACTCCTCGGAACTCTCATCCGAGTTGCTGTTTTCTGTGCACTGTTCTTGGGCGAAGACAGACACGCAGCCCTGCCTGCCTGCTGCCTGCAGAGAGCCCCGGCAGGAGGAACCTTATCATTGTGCATATGAGAAAGGAAGCGCGGTGACTGGAGGGTCGCTTGCCCCCAGCACGGCGCCCACGATGCCTCGACAGTTGGCTTCTTCTGCTTCTGTGCGCTTCTCGGGGTGGCACAAGGGCCCGGCATGTGGCAGCCATTTCCATCTCATCCCGTCGTCATCCAGCGTTGCAGCTCCACAAGCCCAAGCCACTGCAACCCCTTCCGCTCGAGGTGGTGGGGGTGTCGGGCAGGGAGATAGTGAACGCCGGGCGCGACTTGTCTGCTTACGGCGGCAGACTATGGTTGTGTGGCCCCAACGGTCGATGGCGGCCGCCACCACCGGGGCCAGCTGGGGAGCGGTGAACGGACGACCTTCTGGGGGTTGCTATCGGCCTCGCAAGTGGTCAGCTAGTGTGCCGGCGATAGGCTTGTGTCTCCGTTCCACGATAGCATCGAGACGCGCTCCCGCCTTGGGACAGCTATCGCCGCCTTCCACCGGACTCAAATCACCGTCCTCATGACGATGCCCTATCTGCCCAGTCGGCTCGACGGTAATGGTATGTTACTGTCTCGGGTCGGACTCTCCGGGACCCGCGTACAAGGACACCGCCGCTGCATATTCATGTGGGCACCGGCGTCCAGGCCGTTTACGGCACCTTGGATTCATTCTCCTTGTCTGTTCTCCACGGCCATTGGCGCTGGCTTCATTTTGCCACAGTGATCGCCTGGCCTCCCCATCAGACGGTAGTTGTGACCTCTGGGGATCGCCTGACCCGTCGGAAATATAAGATTGGCATGCACCTCGACGAAGGAAGTCTCGCCTCTGGCCTATCAGCAGGCCCCAACCCTGTATTTTCCTTCTCCTTCGCTAAGTCGTCTGGTCTTGTCGATATCACCCTTCTGCATATATCCACTACCCAACCTGCATTTGGTGCATGCAGGCCTGGGTCCAACCAGATGGCAGACCTAAGGTCTTGTTATTTTTACCACGGTGCTCCGCCCTCGGCAGAGCTTGCCAGCGCATTGATATTGCCACACAGGTCTCCCCGCGGCCGGCTCCAGTCGTGTGTGTGGTGCTTGTGTTTGTGCTCGTGTTCGTACCACGGGTCGCTGCTGAACTCACCCATCCCTCCCGCCTCGTGTACCCAATTTTTCTTTTCTTTCTGCCCCTTCAGCAGCCCACAGTATGGGACAGTCACCCCGCCCGGCCCGATAGTCTTGTGCAAACCCAGCGGTGTGGTCGTTTGCCAAATGCGCCCTGCACATTGGCTTCTCTCCTGACTGTCTCGACCTTGCGTGTGACCAAGATTTGTACTGGGCCGTAAAGGTTCCCTATCTCCAAGAGCATATCCGACGGCATTCACACTACGCGCGATAGGAAGATGTCGTGCACTACAATCGTAGTTTCGGCTAATGGGGTACTTGCCCACGCATCTGGCACCACACTCGCGGCTCTTCTCCAACAGGGTCCGTCCGGGTGGCTTTTCTTTTGTTGCCGCTTCCCGTCATTCCACGCTCTGGCTTTCCTTTTTTTTCGTGTCCCCCGAGGCTAGGCAACGTATCGCAACATGCTTTGGGGCCTACCTGTTTGGCCTCTTGCCCGCGTCTCGTGCTTCCAACGAGGTACGAGGAGGCTGCTGTGCGCCCCCGGAGCCCCCCAACACCCTTGGATTCGAGGAAACGTTTGACAGCAGCACAAAGTGGCGCAACTCTGATGGGGTGGGCGGGTGCCAGGCTCGACCTATCCCCTAATGGGACGTGCCTGGATCAGAAGCGCACTAGACCTGTCCCTAGATTGATGTCAATTGCATCTGGACGTTGACGACATCAAGTCCTGTCACCACATCGTAGATCCTGACCAGTGCACTGCTTTTCAACACTACAGTCAACGGCCGAAGACGACCGACCTCATGCTTAGTGTCTTTTTTTTTTGCCAAGTCGGGCCTTCCGTGATCGTGACGATAATTAAGGTTGTGACTACATTTCTCAGACGCAGATGTCCACTGGAATCACCACATCTGGAATAATATATGGACTCCCCATGGTCTCGTTGCCGCGCAATGCGTTGAAGCTCCCAACCACTGCCTGCCGGACTGCACATGGAGCCCTCACATCGAAGCCATCTAGGTAGTAACACTGCCTCAAGACTCGGACGGCACTTGACCGGCTGATCTTCTGGGCGAAGCGGCGAACACGTAGGACCCGAGGAGCACTAACACTCGGTATCGGTGTACCAGAGGGCGGGGTGCATCTCCAGTGCTAGGGTTTTCGGCCCATTAGGTTGTCTCGGGGAGATGGGGCGAGTCTGCGCTTCGGAAACACGACCGAGTCCGGGGGATTACAACATGGAGCACTCGATGACTAGGAGAGTAGGAAAATCGTCTGCCGATGACTAAAGCAATGTCTCGTGCCAAAACACGGTTCACCGGGGACGAGAGTTGCAAAAAATGTCTTAACAGCGCTGGTTATTCGTATGAATTTACGAGAGTTGATGTTGGTTTAAGTCCAGGTGTTTTATTATGCTCTCAAACTCTGGTGGGTATCTGCAGGCCAGAATAGTGCCAGCTTTCCAAATGCATATTCGGTAAACGCTTCGGAATAAGCGGAAGATGGGCATCGAAGTGCAACCTTTTAGTTGGCGCCTACCGCCTGCGGAAATAAGTAAAATAGTTAAAACCCTAGACTTATTAGGCAAAAGAGACAAGAAGTAAACTTGGGTTCAAAACTGAATTATTTTTATATTATTGCAAATCCGACATCTCACCGATACTGACCTGCCCTACGCAGTTAAGAGCTAATTATGTCAGCGGATAAACTTAATTGGCAGGCATTCGGGGGGTGGTCTTCTCATTCCCAGCAACACGAATATGCTTATAACCTCATTATAACAAACTCGACAACTAGGGAGATGTGCATATGAAAGAACATGTACATTTGGTAATTAAACAAGCTGTAAGCCCCCACCCCCACCAGAAAGAATACGGCAGTCTTACAGCCCGCCCCCAAGATTCAAGTCGAATTTGTAGTGTTGTGGGCTTTCCTATTTTTATTTCTTTTCCCATTGTTATTCCTATCATTGTCCAGGGGGTTATCCCTGTTTTTATTCATATTGTTGTTACTACTTATCTGTATTTTCCATTTCTATTCCTCAAAGGAACTGCCATCTTTTTTTGTGGTGGGCGTGGCCCCTACAGGGGAAGGGACTGAGGGCAGTCAAGGGCTTGTAAGCTTGGGCTATGGAGATGGGGGCGTAGGTGACTTGACATGACTGTTCTTGTGCAAGAATCAAGGGATGAAAATGTAGCTAATTCAAATAACTCGTTCAGATTTTATTCTAGCAGGCTTAGAGCCAGAGCTCTTCCATCAATCCAGGCAAAACTCCTCCTAAAAGGCAACTCAACCCCCGGAAGTCAACCAAGACCAAACGACAGTGGCAAAAGGCACCGACCGTAGAAGAAAATAAGAGGATAGATGGCACGAGGGAGAGCAGGTGCAACTGGTTGATTCCCCACATGGACGCTTACCGTGAAGCCTCACCCAGCCTTCCTCCCCACGAGGCAGACGTGGTCGAGCGTGTGATAGACCCCCGCATCAATCTCCCTCCATACCTCCGTCCTCAGCCTCGCGATCCTCTCCTTGTCCCAGCCGCTGCCCTCCACCCCGACCAGCTCCTCGAGGCAGCTGACGAAGCAGTCCATGATGTTCCTGGTCGACCTGGCTCTGAGGTCGAGCCCGCCGTCCCGCAGCCTGTCGGTCGAGAAGACGTCCTCTTGCACGTCGGCCAGCCCCAGCCCGCGCAGCACCTCCTCCCTCCCGACGCCACCGCCGTCGATGGCCGGCGGCTCGCGCATGAAGAGGCCGATGACGAGGTCGTCGCTCGCGCGGAACGGCGCCAGGCCGGCGTAGATCTCGGCGCACGCGGCGCGCGGCGTCCCCGGCGAGGAGCAGTAGAGCGAGAAGTTGCACGAGTCGATCCACTGCAGCCAGCCGCCGGGCCGCAGCAGCGTGGCCAGGTTGCGGGCCGCGCGCGCCCACTCGGCCCGCGTGCTGGCGCTGCTGACGAAGCGCACCGCCACGACGTCGTAGGTGCCCAGCTCGGACTCGGGGAAGGGGTGGAGCATGTCGTGGACGTGGAAGGTCACGTTGGGCGGCAGGCCCTGCGCGGGCGGCAGGGCCGAGGCGGACTTGTCGTACCCGACGAGTTGGCACGTCGGCGGGAGGGTCTTGGCGACGTCGAGCAGCCAGATGCCGGTGCCGCAGCCCACGTCGGCGACCTTGAGGGTGGGTGAGGTTATGGGGATGTTGGGGTGGATGAGGAAGCCGAGGACCCTGGTGGTGATGTCATGCTGCTCGTCCAGTCTGTTTTTAGGGGGTTGTTTGATGTCAGTTCGTGTGCTCTGATAATGGCCGGGGCCTTTTGGGACTTGCCTTTCTGGTATCTCTTCTATCGAGATAGAAAAGTCTTGATCAGGATCTTGCGGTGCGCTCATGATGTCTGTGTGGACTGGAACTGTAATTACGGTTGAGTTGACCCGGGAGTTTTTTTTTACTGGTGCTCCCTCTGCTGGCTCGAACGCCTTTTATGTCCGAAGAGCAAGTTGGCAGCAATAGTAGATATAGCCCGAATTACCTCATACGTTGGCTTTCTTATTGGTCGCATCTCACCGCTATGCCGCCGCCAACGCGTTGCCAAGTAGACGAATTCCTCCTTATCCCGCGTTGGTCAACTTGCTTATGTGGGATAGGCTGGACGAATTCGCGAGCGCGGAGTGCCTGTCAAGGCTTTCCGATCCACCCCTCTAACGCTAACCTTTTTTGGACTTGGTTCAGCTAGCTGCCGTGGGCTGCCTCAGAGAAGCCTAGGCTAGGTATTTTTCAGCTGAGCACCATGCTCGGAAAAGATGACACGCACATGGGAATTAACACGTCAGGTGATTTCCCCGGGGCTTTCCCCTCTTCTTGGGCACCCGCCAGGCACTCTGGAGGCAGAATGCGTTGCCACTATCGTGCAGTAGACGGTATGCCTGGGGGTGCCAAGATAGAAACACGCCAGCAAGACGAAGACATGCGAAGCACTGTGGTGTTTGCAACCAACCACACATAAGAAGCCCCGAAACAGGCTAGTAACCCTGCCTGCAGGCCAACATGGACGATCCTGGGCCGGGTTGTCATCCCGTATGTTACCGCCCGCTTGCTGCACAGTGCATTCGGGTCTTAGAGCTCGAGCCGGGCGACTTCTCGGCGCCGATCGTCGGACGTCTCGTGTCGCAGACCATCGATGGGGAGCCATACGAGGCATTATCCTATGTCTGGGGCGACACCAAGAACCGGCGCGACATCACCATCGACGGCGGCACGCTGTCCGTCACCTGGAGCCTGCACTCGGCGCTAACTGCGTTCCGGCACCTGCCCCCGCCCGGCAACCAAGGCTCTAGCAGCTCGGCGCCGCGGCGGCAAGGGCGGCCCGGGGTGCGCCGGCTGTGGGCTGACGCCGTGTGCATCAACCAGGAGGACCTCCCCGAGCGCACGTCGCAGGTGGAGCTGATGGCGCGCGTCTTTGCGAGCGCCCGCCGCGTGCTCGCCTGGCTGGGCTGGGAGGAGGGCGAGGAGGGCCGGCGGCACACGCGCGACGCCATCCGCTTCGTCCATTACTTCATGGAGGACCCGGAGGGGCGGCTGCGCGACGCCCGCGTCCTGCTCGAGCACGACGCTGTCGACCCTGACGACGCGACCGGCGCCGCCGCCGCCCGCCTCGCCGCCCTGCCCAGGCGGGACCGGCGCCGCTACCAGCAGCAGGCGCGCTGGTGGTACGCCATCAAGTTCTTCTTCGATATCCAGTACTTCCACCGCACGTGGATCGTGCAGGAGCTCGGACTCGCGCGCGAGGCCATCCTGTACACGGCGCTCTGGCCCACCGGGGCGGCCGACGGCGGCGGGTCCAAGGCTCTCGAGCTAGACTCGGTCGACTGGCCGCTGCTGGGGCGGTTCGTCCACTTCATGGACTTCAACGCCGCGTCGCTGGTGACCCATCTCGACATGCTCCTGTGGGTTGCACACCACATCCTGATGATCTGGGAGCTCAACGAGGACGGCTCGCCCAAGTGCGACTTCCTCACCAGCATGCACTGGGCGCGCATCCTGGGCGTGACGGACGCGAGGGACCGCGTGTACAGCCTGCTGGGCCACCCGCTGGCCACCATAGACGGCCAGACCGTCATCAGGCCCGACTACACCGTCACGCGCGGGCTCGTGTACACCAAGCTGGCGCTCGCCTTCATCCGCAAGGCGGGGAGCCTCTACGCCCTCAGCCTCGTCGACCACGAGCACGACCCGCCCCTGGAGGCGCGGGACTGGGACCCGCGGGACGAGGGCAGGATGCCCAGCTGGGCGCCCGACTGGCACAGCGTCAACCGGACAACACCGTTCGCCTACCCCGTGCCTGCGGCCGAGGAGCATGACGCCGGGATCCGGATCGACGGCGGGGTCGACGGCGTCGAGGGGACGCCGCTGCCGCGCCTCTTCCTCCGCGGCTGGATCATCGGCCGGGTCTCGGCCGTGTCGCGCCGCATGGAGACGACCGACTTCCCCGTCACGCACCTCGAGCGCGAGCGGGCCAAGAAGAACCCCTTCTGGCTCGACCGCGTGTGGGCGCTGGTGCGCCCCGCCGGCCCCGACAACGACAACGACGACGACGCCCTCGCGGTGCTAGAGTCGCTGTCGCTCGCCCTGCCGCTCGGCACCAGGGAGAAGCACGAGACCATGACGGGGATAGGGCCGCAGCAGGCGCGGGAGGACCACGAGCGGTCCTTTGCCGCCTACGTGCTGGAATACCACGAGCTGCTGCGGAGCGCGCCGGAACCCGCCGCCGCTGGCAGTCGTGATGGCGACGGCGACGGCTACCTCCCGGCCCGCTCGCTGCTCGACAGCCTCCCGGCCGAGGCTCAGCGCGAGCTGCGGCGGCGGGCCCGAGGGGGCGCCACGGGCACGCGTTTCGTCGAGTGCATGACGTGGCCATCCATGTGCCGCGTCGTGTACCGGACCGCCTCGGGCCTCGTGGGCATGGGCTCGCGCGTCACGCGGCCGGGGGACCTCGTCTGCCGCGTGCGCGGCTCCGAGGTCATGATGACGCTGCGGCCGGTCGGGGGTGCCGACGCCGACACCGCGCCGATCCCCTGCGCCCACATCGGGCCCACGATCGTGCCGGCGCGCATGAAGGCGGGGACCGTTGACGGCAGCGAGTTTGGCGAGCGGGCCGCAAGCTTTTGTATAATCTAGATCTCGCTTTGCCGACGGGGGAGGAGCTGGGGGTATATATGTTGTGGCCGTGACAGAGGATATCCATTTTTCACATGCGTAGTAGAAGCTTTGGCCGTGATGGCGGACGGGCATAAAAGCCAGATGCATCTAGTCTGTTGGGCTTTTCCATGTCGCTGCGGATGCCCACGCAGCCCGCGCCACTGCAGAGCTTATACTGTGCCCGACCCGGCGCGGCACCTAGGTCTCGCCAGTCAACCTCCAGTTGCGGGCACGGGGAACTGGGATCTTGCCCAATACTGTCCTCCATCGGGCCGTGCCGAGGAGCACATGCCCACGGTCAGAATGGTATGGGGACGAATGTGGCATGGTACCTGTACACCTCTCACCGGGCAGCGTCGTGTACACCGCCACCCAGCGGGTCACGCTCTGAAGCATATGGCTCGCAAACCACATACGGCATTTCGAGGTAGTTTTGTTCCTGAAGATCGGACGCCGTGTCCTTTCCGCCTCATCCAGCGAGGTCGATTCGATTTTGGTAAGGTGAAGGATGGGAACGTTTCAATTCAATGCACGCCTGCAGATACATAATAAACAACACAATAAGCTGCCCCTGTCATCCCGTCTTCTGACATGCCTGCCCCGTCACAGCTTTGAAGCAAAGCGCGAGCTGGCCGGCAGCCCTTGCGCGCGGGCCTTGCGCGCACGGTAGGCGGCGACCGGGCTCTCCCACCTGACCTTGCCGGTCCTGTAGTCGACCCAGAAGGTCTCGGGCTCCAGCCCGCTGTCGGGCGGCGGGACGGTCCGCTCCTCCAGCACCCACGGCGGCAGGGCGCCCTTGGAGGTGTACCTCTCCTCCATGGCGCGCGTGTCGGCCGGGTCGGCGAAGCCCCAGACGGCGATCTCGCGGCCGCCGTCGCGGGCGAGGCGCAGGGCCGTCGGGTGGCGCCAGGCGGTGGACCTGGTCGCGTGGTTGGCGTAGTAGACGCGGCCCTCCTCGTCCCGCTTGCGCTCCCACGGCTCCGGCACCGGCACGTGGTCGCCGTCGAAGTCGCCCACGTAGTCGGGCATGCCGCGGGGCGCCCTGGGGATGATGCCGGCGTCCTGCAGGGCCTTGAACTTGCCCGGGTGGATCCACGACGTGGTCTTGGTGATGTGGTTGGCGTAGTAGGGGTCGCCCCTGTCGGTGCGGTACTCGGTGTAGAGGTGTGGGACGGGCACCTTGGAGAAGTCGGGAAGAGCCATGGTTGCGGCGTGTGCGGTGTCGGGGTTTGTTGCTGTCGGCTGTGTGTGTTTTTTTTGTTTTTTTTTGCTTGCCCACCGCCGGAAGGGCGTTGATCTGGTCGAGAGAGACTGGAAAGTAGCGGAAAGCTGAGGTCGCGCAACGGGCGATGCCCAGTTTGGCGCCTGGGACGATCACGTGGACCTCGTGCCCACCATTGGATCCTCTGCGAAGCCGCCACGTAATGAACCAGACAGACTTTTTGGCTGCATCACCGTCCAGGCCTGCTGGTGATTGGGCCCAGCGTCGGTTGTGGTGCTGGGCGGCAAAACAAGAGCAGGGCTTGCATGGCTTGATGCAAACAACATAAAGACTTCACAAAGCCTTTGGGTCACATCGAGATTTGTCTGTCAGGCCTTGGCCTTGGCATTGATGTCTTTGCTTTTTCCGTCGAGTGCTTGCCGCCCCACCCTGAAACGGTCTTGGCTGTTTTGCACGTGACCCGCGTTGCGCCGCTTGCAGCGTCGCGTCGCCAGGGAAATTTTCTGGAGCTTCGCGTTACCGTCGCTCAGATCCACATTGCGACCTTTTTGCCTAACAAACTCTCTCGGGACCGCCCAGCTTGTCGCTCTTCCTCAGAACCACGAGCGTCCAGGGGCGTCGACAGGATCTCCGTGGCACTGAGCAACGCCATCGCTCCCGCACACCGGCTCGCGAAACAGCGCCCGCCCGCCGCCCCCAAGGCTTACTCTTCCTTCCCGCCCTCGCCAGCCAGCCAGCAGCCAGCCAGCTCCTTCGCGCGGGCCGCCATCGTCGCGCTCAGCAGCGCACAAGCAGAAATGGCGTCCAGGTCTCGATCCCGCGACGACCACCGCCGCTCGCGGTCGCCCGTGTCAGACCGCTCCGCCGGCGGCTCCAAATCCCCGCGCAACCGACGCTCGCCCTCGCGCGGCCGGTCGCGCTCGCCCTCGAGGTACTCGCGTTCGCCCTCGCCCCGCCGCAATGGCCGCTACCACGACAGCCGCAGCCGCAGCCGCAGTCGGAGCCGCAGCGGAAGCCTCAGCCCGGGGCGCGGGCGCGACACCAGAATGAGGAGCAGGAGCAGGGGCGCCAGCAAGAGCCCGGCTCCACGCAACACAAAGGTGAGTGCGACGAAAGGGAAGCGCGAGTTGAGCGCGGACCCGGAGGCGCGGAAATAGCAGCGGCGGCAGCAGGGTCCTTCTTCCGCCCTGTATATCCTTGGCGGGCTGAAAATTGCGGCCGCCCTGCGCGTCTGCATTCGGGGGCCGTCACAGATGGCCGATGCTCTTGGCGCCCGACCATGCCACCCCCATCACAGGCCCCCGCCTCCGCCGCCCCAGAACCACGACTTATCACCAGCCATGAAGGATGCGGAGCCGCTGACTGAGGTTTCTGTGGGCAGATCGTCGTCGAACGCCTAACCAAGAATGTCAATGAGGATCACCTCCAGGAGATCTTTGGTACCTACGGTCAAATTGTCGACCTGGATCTCCCGGTCAACCGCCAACGTACGTTTTTTGACCCAATGGACATGCAAGCTGCGCCGACCTGTCCCCTGTTCCCCCTTGACATGCGGCAATGCCCTCGAGTGGCTTAGAGCCACGTGCTCTTTGGCAAGTGGGAGCATCGCCTGGCCCCCACGGGGCTCTCTTTGCGCCGAATCTCCCCTTGCTTTGGGGTAATATTAAAATCCTCCAACCAGAGAAACTGACTTCTGGCGCTAGTTGGCACAAATCGCGGCACGGCTTACATACTGTACGCACGCGAGCCAGACGCTGAAGCCGCCATCGCGCATATGCACGAAGGACAGATCGACGGAGCCACTGTAAACGTGTCCATCGTGCTGCCCAAGCGCAAGTTCTCGACCTCGCCGCCCGTGGCGCGCCGCGGCAACCCGCACATCAACCCGCGCCACATTGAGGAAGCGGCGCGCGTGGGTGGACTGGCCTCGTCCGCCGTGGCTGGTCGAGGCGGGGCGCGCGGTGGCCGTAGCAACCGTGATCGCTCTCCCCCAACTGGGCCGGCTGCTGAAGGCGGCGGGCGCTACTCACACAACCGTTCCGATGTCTATCGTCCTCGATCGCTCTCGAGGAGCAGGTCCCCGGTCGAGGGAGGCAAGGGGACAGGCGGCGGCGGCGGCGGCGGCGGCGGGACTGGAGGGTACCGTAGCCGCTCCAACTCACCCCACTCTGCAAGATCCGAGTCTCGCTCCAGGAGACGCGGTGGCGGCGGGGCTGGTGGCGGAGGCGGCGGCAGGCGCCGAAGCCCCAGCCGGGGCAGCTTCAGCAGCTACGACAGAAGGAGCAGGTCGCGCTCAGCCAGCCGGGGCCGGGGTGGTCGCGGTTATCGCTGAATCTTCCCCTCCGCTGTAATGGGGAGCGTAGGTGTAGGTGTAGGATCGTGGGGGCTATTGGACCGAGTTGGACCCACCGAGTCGTCGACCTATCTCACGCTTGTTGGGCGTGTGCCTTGTTTCGATAACCTGGCCCTGTCTCTGGGGCGCAGGATCATTTAGCGCAAGGGATGGATTGGGAAATTTGCCGTGGCGCTTTTTGCCTTATCAGCCACGCCTAGCTCTGGTGGCTAAAAAAATGTCGAGTAAGATGGTGATGTGTCTAAAGATTCACTAGCCTGTTCGTCTTTCCGTCCCCGCCTGTCCGGTGATAGCGGCACTTCACTTTGTGGCGGTGGGAGGCGGGGTTCTCGCCCCGGGCTCGCAAAGCCATGTTTCTCGAAATAGATGATACGATTTTGTTTCTCGCTCGTATCGATACCTGCCAACAAACAGGCAGAGCTGTTTGTCCTTGGAGCTTTTTTTTTTGCCTGCCGTTTTCCTTTTGTCTCTTTTGGCGGCACCAGGCGCCGTCGAGTCACAAGGTTATGTCACACACCCCTTCGCCTCGACCAAGTCGATATCACAGTCGAGACCATTGCTCTCGGGATCGGGTGACCGGGCTGTGTCCCATCGTCGGGACCGGGGCGGGGGGTTGTTCCAGTTTACCATGGTTCATCGAGACCCCAGCCTTCTCTCGCTCGGTAAGCTTCCTGATGGGGAGATGGCGGGCATCCCCACCTGGGGAAGAGAAAGCCTTCGTGTTCGTCCCAGGCTTGCTCGACGTGCGTGTCGTAATAACCTCGACTGGCCGTCTTTTTTTCTTCTTTTCTTCTTTCTCTCTTGGCAATGGGATCCACGGCACAATACGGCCGAGTGGGTTGAATCATCATGTCTGGGGATGGCTTCAATGGGCCTTTTCTGCTTACGTTAGGTTCAGGCGTTGGCGGGCTGTGCCTGTAGTCCGTCGTGTTGGGATCCCCGCCGGCCTCAGCCTCAGTCCTCCAAGGTCTGTGGGTTGCTTTGTTTTGCTTTGTGTAACGCGCGGTCGATCGATCCAACGTCTTCGGCTTCGTAGTATTGACAAGGCAGACAACTTAACCTTGGACGGCATGGTCCGTGCTGGGAATTGTGTAAGCATGGTTTGGTGGTGGTGGCGGTGGTGGTGTGGCGGGGAGGCTGAACCTCCTCACCACCTGCAAAGTTTATCACCACCTCCCACCGTGTTGACGCTGATGGTCGAGGTACCTGAACGGTGAGCTCAAAGGAGCGTGTGTGTGAGGCGACCCTGCTAATTTGCACCCGGCATGCGTCATGTCATGCCCGTCAACCCTTTTGGCGGTTCGGGGTGGACACCCTGCATGCGGCATGAAATTTACGGATCTTCAACGGTGCGGTATCCAGCATCCCGCGTGTCCAGCCCGCCCACGTATCCAGCATCCATCCGCGAGATGCCTCCCCCCGTAACTAGCCGCCGTCCCGCCCAATCAAGACCCCCGAGACAGGCGGGCCATACTGCCCTGTTCCTGAGGCTGTGGTACGACGATCCGGCCTTTTCGTCTGGCGATACTGCAAGGTCTGTGTTGCATATGTGCTCATGTTGGTTGGTCGCGGCTTTAGTTTATTTCTTTGATCCCTTTTATCTCCTTATTTTTTTTTTCTTCGCCTCTCTCCAATCTACTATCGATCGATCTCACCGCGCCGCCCTGGGCACACAGGCGACGAGGCGGTCCCCACGAGCACAAACTGGGAGGCAGTGTCGCAAACCTCGTGAGGCGGCGTGCCGCTTGCTGACCATGGAAGGATTCTTGTCCCCCAGTGCCTCTCTACCAATGGCCAATGGCCAATGGCGCATCGACTGGGATCAAGCGGCGGATGTCGTCGCCGTCTCCGCAATTGGGACGATGCCGTCAACCCTTGGTTACCTCAAAAGCAGGCGTCGGCGTCGTCCCAAATATTGATTGATTGGTGAGCTCGTCTACCTGGAAGGCCGCGTCGCATCGAATCTACCTCCAACTGGCAAATGCCATGTCTCGGGTTCGATAGGTTGGGGTTCGAGCGGAGTGGGTTTGGGTGCCACGCGGAACCTTCATTGCATGACAGGTACAGGTACAGGTATGGTGGAGGGCGGACACCATCGTGCCTGCCGCTTCGAAGCACCTGCTGTAACTTGGCGGATCTCAGCCCACTTCTGCACTGGACACGTGCGGGATGTTGATGCATGTGGCTGGCTGTCAGGGCAAGCTGCCTGGAGAGATTGGCGAAACCCCGTGGAATTCAATCGGATCTCCACCTCCGCTGCAGATAGAGCTTGATCGCGATACCTCCCAGCTCGGTGCAAAACAGGTCGGTGCCTAAAGAACGAAGCATCACCATCTTCGCGCGCGCCGATGAAGCTGCCTCGGATGCAATCGAGGTCAGACGACGTGACAATTGGCTCCTAGTTGGGAGTCACCCCGAGCGCACCCTGCCGCCATGCCCGAGGCGAACACGAGGATTCGAGTTGGCCCTCGTGGGACAGTAACCGAGGAGGTCCAACTTTATGGCGCTGTAGAGCTACGAGCGACGGCCCCGGGCGAGAGACTCCCTCACCTCTTCCCCGCCACCGACCGACAGACATGGGCGTATGCCACCTCCCTCCCTGCCTAGCACGTCGAGGTAGGTATCTAGTGCACCTACCTACTTGGAATTAACAAAAGTACCGCTACCATGGAAGCCAAGAAACCGGGCGCAGGCGGGCGATAGCGACTCTCCACACCCCACCACCCACCCAACACACCAAACAACGCGGCTCTGAGACCTGTGAGAAAGGGGTGGTCGCACAGCCGCGGCCTGACCGTTGTACAAGCGCGACCCGGCCTTCACGCGTGTCCTGCCAGGGTACCGACAGCATCTGGGGGACCATGGAAATCAACCTGCGACTGGGCTCGCTAAAGCACCGGCTGCTTGCACCATCACCGGCACCTCTCGTGCCCTGTCTCCCGACCCCGCCTCATTTCGAAATACTGCCGCGGCCTGAAGCACGTTTTCCACCTCCTTTCCCTTCTTTTCACTGCTGGCTGTCCTTCCAGCTCTTTACCACCCTGCCCTTTGCTGATCGTTCCCGATTGGCGCCCGCCAACATTCCAGATGGCTGGCAAGCTGCTTTAGTTGCACTAGACATTCGGGTTCCTGCGCCCAGGACCGCTGTCGCGTCTGCTCTCGTCGCACAGGGCGCAAATGATCAACACATGACAGCCCCGACGGGCCAGCCGGGGAGGCATGCTGCAGCCGGCGTGGATGGATGGGCCATCATCTACCGCTGCCCTCTCCTGCGGGGCCCCTTGGGCCTCTCGTGGCCGACAAGAGTGGCTGCTGTGCCGCATGTCTAAATTGCGAGCCCACAACCCCCATAGGGCTGGGGTCGAAGGATTCTGCATACGGCGCCGGGTCCAACTCGGCCTCTCGCCTGCCGCTGCTAAATATTTCTGCCACCCATGCCATGCATCAAGCTCCCTCAACAATCACAATTCCGGCCTGCCATGCCTCGTCCACTAATATGGGAGCACATCATGACGAGAGCAGGGGAGCAGGCCAGTATGGCTGACGGTCCATTGTCTGCCTTCTTGGGGCCCGGCTTGCCTCGAAGCAGGAGTATCCACCGCCTGCCATGCCTCCTCCACTGGCGTCGACGCCGCATGCGCGCACAGCATCCAAGGCCGCAGCCACAACCCAGGGAGTCCCGGTCAGGGAATTCCATGTTTACTTGACTGCGCTCGTGGTGTTTCTTGTTTCGGCACCGTGCCGGTCAGGATCCTCGGGATGGAGCCGTTCACTGGCCGTCCCGGGATGAGCTGAGCTCACACCCCGCCACTCTCCCTCCCCATCTATCTCCTCCATCTGTCTTGGGCCCTCGGGCTGGTGACTGCCTTGGTTCGAGTCAGAAACCTTTCGGAACCCCCAAAGCAAGTGCTTTGTGCTACTAGGCCGGGTTTGATATCGAGTACTGGCCCATGTACATACCCATGTCCACCCACGCCATGTCCAACCCATCTGCCGCTGTCACGGCCTGTGACCGCTGTCACCTCCCATGCCATCTCCAACCCACTCCTCAGTTCGGAATCTTCTGCCCTCCTTCTAGACCTCTGCTCTACAGTCCCGTTGTCTCTTCCTTGTGCGCATGGACGTGGCTAGTTCTCTGCCTTGTTTCGTTTCACTCGCCGGGACCTACTTCTCCTCCGGTAGTAAGCCCTCTTCCTTACTGTCTCCGGTGTACTGTCTCCGGTGCGCCTTGAATCCCCGCCCTCGTTTTTTTTTCTCCACTGCTGTCCAAGCCTCTCTATGCCTGCCCACGCGTTCCACCTCGCCCGAAATATCACAGTATGCCCTTGACCAATGCACAGCTGTCTACGCCATCGACGCTGCCCTACCCCCAAGCTTGTCACCATGACCCACGTGGGCCGATCTGTCGCGTCCCCCGTTCCCATCCTGGCCCCTGGTGCCTTTGTTCTCAACCAAACGGTTGCTTGCGTGCGCAGCCGACCCTTTGATCCTGTCGCTGCAGCCACCCCCCTTCTACATGACGAGATTCGTGAAGTTTAGGTCTCGACGTCATCCGGGGCTCCTTCCAATCCGGGTCTTATTTCTAGCTTCGACATACAGACCTGACTGGCAATCACGAGGCCCAGGGGCTGGAGATGAATACGGGCCTCGAAATGACTTGCTGCTCCTATCACACATCCTGCCAAGCCTGAATACATGCTGGCTGGAGCCTGCGGCGTCACACACCGTGATTGTTCACTGCCTGATGCCCACCATACCAACATGGTACCACCGCACCTTTCCGGCCGTACTATGCGTATTCTCTGAGAAAGCCCTGCGAGCGGTAAGCAGGGAGAAGGATGTCGATGCAGAGTTGCCCGTCTCCCTTCCAGATTGTGTAAGCCTAGGCTGGCTGCGGTGCCGTGCTGCGAACCTTGTCTCCTTCATCGGTCGGCCCTTTGAGGCGCATGTGCGACCTGAACTTCCTTCCGCGGATACTTCCGTGAATAACCCGACCTACCTATATATACACGACATGGCCGCCTTGAATCTCAGCAAGTCTCGGTTGATCATCCTCAACAACACAGCACTATCAACACTCTTCTACTCACAATCTTGCTCCGCAATCACTTCCTATCATCAGCCAGGAAATACAATCGCCGATAGACAATCACCTTTCCTCGAACTCTTCTCCTACCTCCGCCCAAGTATCTTAAGACACACCAGAGTTCTCTCCTCTTCAAACCCCATCGCAATATTCTCAGACATAGAGACGGCTCTGCACCACCATGGCTTCCCAGGGATTTAGCGCGAGCTTCTGCAGCGAGAAGACCGGCGAGCGCCGAGAGAAGCTTGGCCAGCACTGGCCGTTTCCGGCACCGCAGGTACGAGAGCAGGAGTGTTTGGCGAACTCAGGGACGCAGTCGCTTGGCGACGCCCAGCGCAACCTATGGGACTGCAGCAGCGACTCCCTCACCTCCCCTGGCGTGGCTGGCCCTCGCACCCGCCCGAGGCCAGTCAACCCGCCTACACCTCCGCCCTATGGACCCCGCCCGGGCCCCGTCCCTCCCGTTCCACCGGGGAACCCAACCCCGCCGCCCTCGCCTCGCCGCCCAATGTGGGCGGCGGAGGGCGGCCTGGCCCGCACCATTATCCTCGCCTGCTTCCTGGACTGGGTCTATCCCACCCCGACTCCCCTGAAACATGGGGCCAAGTGCGACAACTACAAAGCTTGCCAATCTCTGCGCCTGCCAGCTGTGTCCTTGGTAGCTGCCATGCCCTAAATGGAACACGGATGGACTCTCAGACTGGGCTCACCCAGTAGGACCATCAACGTTCTTCCAACTACCACTCCCGCCACTACTGCGCCACGATAAGATATGGAATCGTGGGGCCCTGTGGCCCTTGGGTGGCTGGTGTGCATCCAGACAGCACCAACTGCCGGGGGGCTGATGGACGTCTCGCAGCCTTGTGGGCCACGCCACATGCTGCACGACAGAAGCTGACGAATCTACTCGCCTCTTGCCTCTCACCTCTCGCGCCGCGCATCTCTATTCCCCTGCGCGGCCACTTTCGGCTCACGCCCTGTCGCTGGCTGATTGTCATTGATCACCGGCTTGCAGCACTGCAGCAGGTGTGCTACTAAATGACTCCATCTGATCGCGCTGGGATTTGCGACACCTGTGGCGCGTCTTGCCCAACAGCCATCCTCTCATTGCCTATCAGCGGCTCTTGTGCTACAAGCCCGGACCTGCACTTTAATATGGCGACGCCGGTCTGCAGGTCGCCTTGTCATACCAGGCACCTGCATCCGGTGCCGCTTCACAGATCCGGCTGATCCAAGATGGTGCTCTACTGACTCCATCAACAAGAACCCACTATAGGTGGCTCACCATGCCTGATCTCTCGTCTGTTTTTTCTTTGTCAGCTCACTAGATCTCTTAGCTTCTTTTTTCTGTCGCTGTCACATGTCTTCTGGTTTTCCCTGTCTCGATCGCTTTCGGATGTTTCCAGAACAAGCCTTTTCTTGTCTTCGCAAGCCCTGTTGCCGCCACTACTCCCTTTTCTTTTTCATGCTTAGAATTACTCCCACCCTTGTACAATCGTTAAGCGCGTGGCGCATCACAATCTGAGTTTCTTGTGCGCTGCTTTTGGGTACAGCGACAGCATAGCAGAGCACCTGGCTCTCCTGTCGCTGCGCAGCCGAGTCGACACTCGTATGGACCGTCGTGTTTTATTAGCATAAATCTTCTTCCAGCCTTTCGTTAACAAGCTGCTCGTAATTATCATGCAGACAAAGCCAATCTACCTTGCATTATTGCCCACTGCTACTACCTCCGACCCTTCCCCCGCTTTAAACCTTTAAACCCGTGTTAAACCTGAAGTGTTCGTGGCTGTAAACCTCTGGGGAGAATTTGCCCATGGCTCGGCTCGGCAGCTTCGCGGTTTTGCTTTTCCTAATATTTTGTCTCCTTCTCCTTCGCAGGGAAAATGAACTTCTCTTTCGCTTCACAGGATTAGGCGCTTATCTGAGATGAGATTGCGAATGTGTGATTGAGCGATAGATGCAAGGGATTAAAGTGACCCCAGAAGGTTTCGGAGCAAAGGCTTGTTTGTAACATGGTAATTATAAGCCTTTTTTGCAGTTGCCAAAGTGTCCACTCTTACCCACTTTCCATAAGTCAGTGCACCCCCTGTCGACGCACTCTGTAAGGATCCGATCAACACCAAACCTATTACATTCAATTGCAAATTTCTACCTTTATTTAAGCCACCTCGATGCAAAACAAAGTCGATTCCTGTTTGGAATCGTTCGGGCTTTCAAACGCATTACTTACTTCCTCCAAATCTTCCCCTTTCGTTGCAGCAATTTGGCGGATATTTACAAAGGCTTTGTTAGGGTTAAGGGCCACCGTTACGCTTTGCATGCTTTTGCATTCGTTTACTTTTTTTAATCGCTTAACGTTAAGTGCTTTAACCCGCTAAAAAAGGCGTACGGTTAATAAATCGAGGATTTAATAAGGTCGTACGTTAATTACGTAACCAAAATCGAATTCCTTTCGGCGTTTAAAGCGGCATTTTTTGCTTTTATAACCGAAAAAAAATTTAAAAAGGCTTCCAAAAGGCTGGTTTTGCTTTTTTTAATCCGGATTCGGTTTTGGAAAAGCCAAATGTAAGGTTACGGATTTTAATTCCCCCAAGGACGCCCTTAAACAACCCTGAACCTTGGACCTCCAAAACGCCCAGGACAGCTAAGGAAACAATTTTGCAATTTAAACATATTAAAATTCGGATTTCCAATTACTAAAGCAGCTTTCCAATACCCATGCTGGCGGCTATGGACCAATTTGCGAAAGGGGCTAAAGCAATTATGCAAGCACAGAAAGGATGTACAGCGGGTGCTTGGAGCCAAGCGGGCATACGAAGCAGTGCGCATTTAAAGTTGGACTTGAGCTAGATAGACTACATTCCTCTCCCAGCAGTGTCGAAGGTTAGCTTAGCGGGTACCCAGCCGACGCACAAAGCCATAGCCTAGGTAAAACAATGATGTTAACTGCTTGAAGACGGGCAGGGTTGGGAATTAAGTCAAAAGCCATAAGTTAAATTCATGACTTTTGTAAGTAAGTCAGTCAAAGTTAACGGTGTAACTAACTAATAACTTACTTAATTTTTTTTTAACTTACTTAATTAACTTAATTAGTCATTTTAAGTTAATTTTTGCATAAGTTTTTTTTATAAATCCACATAATCTTTTGCATATTTTTGCAATTTTTTTTTAAAATTTGCTTTATATATAAATAAAGTAAAATAAAACTATAATTAAAACAAATAATAATAATAAAATGTTACAAAGAAGACAGTATATACTGTAGAGGAGAGGTTTCAGGCGTAGATAGCAGATGCCTGAGGCATTGGAAGAGCGGTCCCTCTGCTTGAGAGCGTATGACGCTTCCAGGCATCAGGAGGGAAGCTTAGTAAGCAAGGAAGACACGGGAGTCACGTGTATATAAAGGGCAAAGGCTCTTACGGAGCCCTGCACCTCAGATCCCTTCCTCCTTAAAGCAATCCAACCGGAATAGCCTCACACCGTGCTTATACTGTCACACGGGGATTGAGCCGGTGACCGACTCAGGGCCGATAGGACGGCCGACAGGACGAGTCGCAGGCCAGAAACGAGGTCTTGGCCGTTGGTTGGCCCGGTTAAAGGACAGTCACAAGGACCTCGCATGTACTACGCGCCCGGACAAAAGGGGTAGCTCCTCACGTCGGGACCCGTACCCGATCACGTCCACTTCTCTACCTCCCAGACGGCCTATATAAGGGAGGCCTTTCCCTCAAGGAGCTCACAGGAGATTCTGCTTCCTTAAGCATCTCCTAGAGGCCTTGAGAAATTATCAATACATTGAGCACCTTCCAAGCCGATCATTGATCCCCTTGTAACATATACCTTCTGCCTGCAACATAAAAGTAATAAAATAATAATAAAATTAATAATTAAAAAAGTAATAAAAAAAGTAATAAAAAAAGCAATGGCTTAAATTAACTAATTTAGTTACTTAAGTAAGTTATTAGTCAGTTAAAATAAGTTAAAGTCACCGCCGTAACTTGACTTACTAACTTAATTCCCAACCCTGAAGATGGGTCTTTAAGCTCGTTCAGCTTGGGACCACCTGCACTTTGCCTCCAAACCGTTGCCAGTCAGCAAGATATCCAGCTCCATACAGCGGCCTTTCGCATCGAGCCAGCACACGCCTTAAATTTCCTTTTTTTCTTTTTCCCCACAAACATCAGCCGACCAACATTCACCAGAGCAGCAATCTTTCGCTCTACGTGACAATAGCCAAGACGGACGACAGGGCTACCTGTTGGTTCACAAGAGGGAACCAGCCACCCGCTTATGCCGACGTCCGCGAGCACCGCCTCTGCGAGGCCGCGGTGGAAGAGGTGGGCCCGGACAGCATCGCCGGCCACTACATTGCCCAAGGCCTAGCCATTCCATACCCTGGACAAACGGGCACTCCTGGTACTATAATAATCTGGCCCCCCGTTGGTAGACTCCTAGGTTTCATACTGACTCCGCTGATATTTGCTGCAGGATCCCGGCTCCATGTCGATGCCCCGCGACGGCGGGGTGTAAATGCACACGCCGGCGCCGCCTTCACCTCCAAGAAGCAGCTTCTGGAGGCCCATGTGGGATTATGAGATAGATGAGTATTAGGGGCACTTTTACGTAGCGCAGAGTAACCCCTCTTACCAAGGTATTGTGGCGGTATCCGGCGGAAGGACAATTTCATTTATCCGCTTCTATTTCCCCGGATCTCCGAGACATCCTTGTTGAAGAGGGAGGCAATGTACTGGATATACGCGGACACATTCCTTTGCGATCTTTTGCATGAAAGGACCTTAGTAGGGGATGCCGGCGGATGGGTCTGGGCCACGCTGAAACCACTGGTGGATTTCGTTATGCTTCCGTAGACCCTTGACCTCCCACCATCTCTGACTCGTCCGTCACCCCTGCACAGTGTGCCCCTTTGGGCCCCTCCCTGGACGCTGCACGTCAGAGGACCTAGAGAACGTGGGGGCTAGGTCACTCCTCGGCGGAAAAAAAGGCCAACTGCCGGGACACCCCCACAGTCAATCTTGGGGCTGGTGTCGGGTGACATCCTTTCTGGAGACCGGCTGGAGACTAGCTGCACGACACACAACCTGGGCGTCCGCAATTCCTGATGGACGAGCCGACCTATCCACAGACCACTCGCGACTTGTCATCCCATTTATTGCTCCATCTACGCAGCGAGATTGCGCTGTGGACCACTTTCGGGTCCCGTCCCCGAATCATTATCGATGGGTCGTCGAGCGGCCAGGCGGAGCAGGCACCTCATTGCCGCCAGCAGTAACCAGCGACGGCCAGAGAGCACCTAGGTACCTAGGTAGCCAGGCACGTGGACTCCACTCGCGCGAGTGGGGGAGCGATTGTTCGTTCCGTACTCAGGGCGCGCAGCCGGCGGTGTCTTCTCGGGGCGGTGTTGTTGTTGGCCCAGACTCCAGCCAAGAAGCGGGGTTACCGAGACCATGGGAGTGGTCACCGACAGAAGGTGCCAAGAGCTTGCTGGGAGGCTCTAAACCGACGGCGAGGGTGCTTGCCGGCCGAGAGCAGCCGGGGCGGAGCGGCCCACCTTGTTGCCTTGAAGCCCTCCGTCCGATTTCATGGGTGCGTCCCCCCCACACGACACTGCTGTCTGCGTGCAACCTCAAAGAACGAGGCGCGGTAATCCACGTCTACGTCGTCCTCCTCGCCCAGCTCTAGTGGCGGCCTTTCACACCATGCATCTGGCACTTGCTCCCCGAGCTGACATTGGAAAATAGGAGAGTGGGTGGTAAAGTACAATGGAACCACAGTGACCATCACGTTGTTTGCTGGCCAGGCCCCGGAATGGGGTCAGGTCGAACTGGGGGAACGGGGTTAAAATTTACTATTACTGCTCTAGATACCCAAGCGTGTAATTAATTGCTTTGCTCCCATCCCCGGTCTTTTCAATAAGCCTAGTGGCCGCCCATTGGCAGCGGTGTCGGTTCCCCAGGCAGGCTTAGTTTGCCTCGGCACCCTGGGCGCCGCACTTCTTCTCGCAGTAGTACGTGAACTCGTCGCCGCCGATGTGCCAGGCGGCCGAGTTGCATCCAATGCCGTCCTATGGGTGGATCATCTTTTGTCAGCGACCAAATGCCCTGGAGAAAAGGGTTTACTGGGGCATGACGGGGCCGGTAGGAACATACAAAGTGGCAGTCCGGGCACTTGTCCCACTTGTTGTTGCCCGTGTTGCGAGCCTTGTAATGGTCGCAGGCGCACTTGGTCGCGGCGGGCAGGATCTCGTAGTTCTTCGCCCAGGTGTAGCTGGGGCTGAAGGGGGTGCCGCCGGAGGGCGAAGTCTTCCTGCCCGTGACGCAGACGGCGACGCTGTGCAGCCTGGCGGCGGCACTGGAAACACCGAGAAGATCGAGACAGTTAGTCGACGGTTTGTTCTTCTTTTCCCACAAGGGGTAAGGCGGAGCTTCGGAAAGGGAGAAACCAACCTGGCGGCAAGCGCCAAAAGAACGGAGGCATAGGAAAGCTGCATGATGCTCGTTTAGTTGCTGTTTTTCTGCCGGGAGACCAGATCTATTGGATGAGGGTGGGTGGGTGCAAAGGGATGGGAAAATCGACACCCATTAGAGGAGGACGGCTCGAGGATAAATACTCACTGGGATGAACTGAGAAAATGAGGGCAATAAGACGATTGTAGGATGCTTCGGTATCCTGATCCGGCCAAGCTCTCGCTCGTTGCTATCGCCGTCCAAATTTTGGAGATTCGTCTGGTCGCCTGACGAGCGGTCGCCGATGAGCCCTCCCTGTCCCTGTCCCAATGAATATTCCCCGAAACCTTGTCATAAACGGGATTTCAAGTCCACGAATGGATCGGGGGCTCGTCCACCACGGGCGGCTCGTCGGAAACTTGCGCAATAAAATGTTCGCTGCGCCCCACAAACGGAAGATCCCAGGATACTAGTTCCGCCACCTACCGGGCATAGCACACGGGTTCAAGGCACACGGGTTCAAGGCACACACCGCCAGACACGCTGTCACTTACACCAAATTTCTTGACCGAATCTGGCAGGTGGACGCGCGGACAGACCGCTTATGACTCGCATATGGGCAGCCGCATCCGCTGGGCAGTCGGGCCTATAATGGGCTCACGGGTTTTTCCATATTGTCGATGGCGTCGACTCAGTCTATCTCGGGCCCGCCACAGGTCATTGCATTTGTTGAGGGATCAAGCGATATCACGACTCGCTCCTCGCTCGGTGTCCGGATAGGAGAACCGCAAGAAAGATGCCGTTCCATATGCCGAGTCTCGCCTCTCGTGTGCGGGTGAGCAGGCCACGGCGATGAGGCAGGAGGAACGGGGTCTGGACTTCGGCGTTTTTTCTTTGCGGCTTCCGCTGGACAACGCTTCGTCGGGCTGCCTATAAAGTTGACGGATCCTCGAGTCTTGGGTTCTGGCTTTCTTTTCTGGACACCACCCCTCCCAAGCCAGCCTTCAAGAACACTCTCTGCTTCCCCACCAAAGATGAAGTCCTTCAGCCTTTTCGCTCTCACCCTAGCGGCGGTCGCCATCGCGGCTCCCACCACCGCGAACGAGCCGGCCACCCAGTTGAATGCCGGAGAGTACATTCTTGTCAATGGGGACCACCGTGAGTCTGGGTTTTCCGTAGTTTTCACCACAGGCCGAAGAAAAGACGGCCGGCATATTTCATTGGCTGCAGCGGCGGAAAACAACGCGCAGTGGAGAGGAGTTTGCTAACCCTAGGCAATTTACAGATGAGGTCATCAACGAGACTCGGCTCAACGAGTACCTCGAGAAGGAAGGCATCCTCCGCGAGCCGCCGCCGGTCGACGCGGAGTGGCTCAAGTTCACCCCCGACGCTGAGGCCCTCGCCAACTTGACCAAGCTAGAGGCCCGCCAGGCCTCGTGCCAGCACACCGTATCCATCATCCAGGACAAAAAGCAACGCTTCACGGACTGGGACGTGCAGATGTCCTCGGTCGTCATCGGCGCGGGCCGCTCCGGCATCCAGTTCACCGTCGACAATGGCTGGAGCGTCAGCAACGCGGTGACCGTCTCGGCCGGCCTCGACCTCGGCGTCGTCAAGGAACGTGTCGGCGCCACCCTGGGCATTAACTACAGCAAGACCTGGACGTCGTCCTTCACGGAGCGATACACCATCACCGTCAACGAGGGCGAGGCAGGCGTCTGGACCTCGCAGCCGTGGACGAACCGCGTTTACGGCCGCACGTTCCGCGGGTGCCCGGGCTCGCTCGTCCAGACCGGCACCTGGATGGCCGACTCGCGCGAGGACGGCCAGTACTTCGGCCACAAGTGGGTTTCGGGCTACATCAGCGCCTGCATCAAGAAGGTCCCAAGGGGCCGCGGCGGCCTGACCCGCTGCCACGGCTCGGGAGAGTTCAAATAAGCACGACGAGGACGCGACGCACGCGCACGCAAAAGCCCCATTGATAATGCGCCGCCTGCGGGCTCCTTGCGAAGGGGGGAGGGGAATCGAGGAGAAACGGGGAGGGAAACGGGAAGCATATAATTCGGCCCCGGATCCAGCGGTGTAGCATGTTTCCGGAGACGGCGAGGTGTCATTCTTGGTGGAAGCCGCCATTTTGTTTTCTTTCTTGCCCTGCAAAGGGACGGCCTTGTATCGCAGTTACAAAGCATTAACCTCAGCTTGTAATCCATTATTGCTTGTTGCTGATGATTATTTTCTCATGACATGGTTCACTACGCATGCAAAACAACCTCAGCAAATAACCGTGCACCTTGCTAATCTTAGCGTCGAACTCTGTAAAATTCGGCTGGTTTTTCCTTAGCCGCTTACGACCCTTAGAAAGGGCAGAGATATTAGAAGAAATATGAAGGACGTTATTTATCGCTGGACTCCCTCTTTAAACATTCTTCCCTAAGGAAAAATGACGTTTTCTCCTGAGAACCGGAAAAGTAGCACCCGTCCTGACGCACAACCGAAGGCGACCGTTAATCTGGCTAAAGTTGAGTGGACCGGCTGGTACTCAAGCGGCAACCACAACAGATTCCGCCCGTTCCAAGTAATACATGCCTTATCAAAATTGACTTTTACATTTTGGAAATGAGGCGGTTGAAAAAAGGGTTAAAGGGTTGCATGGACAGTTAGTAGCTTATTAACAAGGATAGTGCTTATATTTGTATAAAGACGCGAGCCTGCTTCATCGAATGAGATATTATAAAGGGCCGTACCAATATTGACGGTTTGGACGCACGCGCCCGTTGCTGCGCCCCAGAGCTTGACGGTTCCATCGTACGATACCGACGCGAGCTGCTGGCCGTTGCACGAGAAGGTTACGGACCTAACCCAATCGCTATGCCCTTCGAGCGTCGCGGCGCATGCGCCCGTCGCCGCGTCCCAGAGTTTAACGGTAGTGTCGGCCAACACCGACACGAGCTGCCGGCCGTCGCGCGAAAAGGCCATGGACCTAACCGAATCGCTATGCCCTTCGAACGTTGCGGCGCATGCGCCCGTTGCCGCGTTCCAAAGCTTAACGGTTTTATCGTACGACGCCGACGCGAGCTGCCAGCCGTCGCGCGAAAAGGCTATTAAATTAACCCAATTGCTATGCCCTTTAAGCGTTTGAAAACATGCATTCCAGTCCAGATTTACCCGTGGGACCAATAAAAGCTAGTTGGGAAAATGGTTATAACAAATTTTTTAAATACCGCTGTTTTTTAACGCAAAGATAATGGCTAAACAATAAAGTTGCAAAAGCGATGCGTTAATAACAGCACAACAATTTAAAATAAAGCGCTGTATGTTACGAAAAATATTATACTGCTGTTTTTTTGGCTGTAAGCTGGGTTAGTATATTTTTGTAACTTGGAAAGCTGCGTATACACTTACGTAAAGCAGATTGAGCAAGTCCGCCATTATGCCAATACTTTCCCGGATTCGCCCTACAATGCCTAATGCTTTTAACCAATAAAGGAAATGGCTAGTTAAAAAGGCGTGGACGGGATAGCTATCCCGTATTTAACGCGTACCTTTTTTGCAATGGTAAACCCAATATCGACAAGCATATTAAACTTTGGGTAACAGGGCGACATTAATGGTAAGCGCGCTAATTTCGAACCGTAGCGTGCCGGGATAACGCAAATTGCAAATGTTTTTTTAAAGGTATCGCCGGTTAATAGCAATTTAAAGCAGCGGTTCGCCAGCTGCTTATAGGTTCCCCGCGTGTTAACCCAAAAAGGTTCGCATCGCAATTTTTTTAATTAATAAGGAAATTACGAAAAAACAAGTAAAGCAATTTGATAAAAACGAAAGGATTATTTAAAATGTTAAGGATAAAATGCAACGGGCGCAGCTTCGAATTTATATCGAATTGGGTTTTGCCGAAAATACGTGCTAGCGATACGGAAGGGAAAAGGTTAGCAAAAAGTACAATAATTCCAATTATGTTGCGGAATTACGTTACAATTATAAGTTATTCCTTTTTTATTTGCTTAAAAAAATGCTAGTTTAAAATTGGTAAATACGTTGCGTAAAGCTAAAACCATTTGCTTTTTGCTTTGTACTTGAAGATTTTATTTAATTGTTCCCCAAAATCGCCAGAATCGCTATCAGCAATAAAGCAGCAAACCGTTAATGCAAAAACGAAAAGCGGTACAGCCATATTAACAAAATTGTAAAATTAGTAAGTAAAAGCCAATTGGGCGGCAACTTTAGCTTTGTTACGGTTTTGTTAAAGTTTTTCCGAACGCGGGTTAATTTCGAACGTAAAAACGTAAAAATATCCTTTTTTAAATCGAATTTAAATTTTTTGTAAAAGGTTAAGTTTTAATAATTGCCGTTAATGTTTTTAAAGCTAAAACGAATAAGCAATTCGGATTTGCTGGTTACGAAAAATCGGAAACGGAAAAATATCGTTTTTTAGCTTTAAAAAAAAGCGCATAAAAATAATAGCATCCTTTTTTCAATTGCATTTGTTAAAAATATCCAGCATTACAATAAATATTTAAAAATTAAAACCTTTGCATTTTTTAACGGTATTAAAAAAAGCTTTTCGAATTGTTTTTTTTAAAATTTTATTAATAATGGCCGAATCGTAATTAATAGCGCTTTAAACATGCAATGCTAAGCTTAGTAATTAATAAATAAATTAAACGAATATAGTAATAAATAATATAACCGCTTTGCTACGGTCGCTTTTGCTTTTTTTTAAAAAAAAGCTAGCGCTAAGTACTTTTGCTTCGGAAAGTTTTTAGCTACCGTTCGCAAAATAGTCGATTTGCCGGTTCCAGCTATGCCGCGCAGCCAAAAAATGCATTTTCCGTCGAAATCCCCGATCCATTTGTAAATGTCGGCGAAAAGGTCCACGCGGGTATCGGGGTGGCAATTAAAATCGTGCTCGTTTGCTTGGGTATCGAATGCAGCGCTTTTCGCGATTAAAAGCTTTAAAAAATCGATTTTGCGGTTAATGTCGAAGGTAAAGGTGCTATTGCTCGATGTTAACTGCGTAACGTCGGTTTGTAAGTAAGGTAACGAACGTTTGGTCAATTAAGAAAACGGCGGAAATCGCGTTCCGCTCCTGCAGGAGGTTGTTGATAACCTTGTCGACGTTTTTGCTTTTGAACGGCTATGCAAAAGCGCGTAAACCCACACGTTTTATAGCCCGCCCCGTACGACCCGTATTTAATATTTCTTTTAGCTTTGCGCGAATGGGATCGAATTGCGTGCTGGCGTTCGCAAAGGCGTTGTGCAGGTTTTGCGCAATTTTAAATCGAAATCCATTTAAACTTTGCAAAAGCCGTTGCACACCTTCGGCGATTGCCTTAAAAGCTTTTGTTTACTGTCGAAAGCGTGCGGTGTCGTGCTTGGCGCTTTTAACGTTGCGGGAGTATTGAAGACAGAAGGCGCCGATCTTTGCGGCAAGCTTAATTACCGCGATAGCGCTCGCTGCTGCTCCTAACCCCTCCATTACGCGGCAAGCAGGTGGCAGACAAAAAGGTGGTTATCGAAAGTTAACGATCGGCATACGGAACGAATGGATGCCGCGGTTAAAACATCGATGGCGGTTTGTCGAAAACCCGAAGGTGCGTTGTTAAAGCTGCAGAGGGAGGGGTAAGGCTGCAAGGTGGACTGGCGACTGGCACAGCCCCAAGCGCGTCAACGAGGCGGTGCGCTGCCACGTTTGCGGCTTTGATTGACCTATTAAACGGGTCCCAGGCTTCGCTCCAAAGCATTTTTGCAGCTCTCGTCGGCGCAGCGCCCAGCTCTTATACCTGCTAATGTCACCTCGTAACACCCTGCGGCGGCTCAACCGACCGCCAACTGCGCGCCGTCTGCTCGTTTTCGGACCTCAATTCTCCGGCTTGCCGTGCGCAGCAAACAACGGCGGCACGCAGCTTTCAGCTCTGCCCGGCTTGCCGCCATCGGGAGTTTCAGATTTGTTCTTCCTTTTCCATTGCACCAGCAAGTCTTCTGGCAAGAAGGCCTGCGGTGCTTTACGATTGTTAGAACGCGGCACCCAGCCACCATGAGCAAATGGCGGGATTAATTCAGCACGTAAGTTTCTCTACCTCGGCTATCCTGTATCGTTGTGCGAGCGGCGCGGGTACGCAAAAGCCGAATGATCGACCTCGACCTCAAGGTGTAACATGCGTTACGCCGGTTTCCTTCAGTGGAAAGGTGTTGCCGCTCGATGCGGACTTGGCTAACGCTTACTCAATGAACACCGTTATACACAGTCCGTTACAGTTTTTTTATCCACTGCAGTGTTTATCTGCGCACGTTAACAAACTCAACGAGACCGGCCCACGAAGACGTGATCGTCTCCACTGCAGAGATTCCAAGCACCCAGAGCAGCATCCCTAGTCGATATGCTCCTTACAGAAAACAGCTGCTGCGCACAGAAGAACAGCTGCTGCGCACAGAAGAACAGTAATAAGGGCAATTACAATGAACCACTTTAAGTTACTGGAACGGCGTATCGCCCCGGAAAGCCCCAGTAATCCTGCTCCATGCCCAAGTTGCCCAGCGGAGGAATCAGCTGTGCTCTAAACGGCGGAGTCGTAGCCACGCGGTTGACTTTCGAGGGAACCCGCCGATAAACGCCTTGCCGCGCGAAGGTCTCTTGATGGAATGCTTCCGTAAAAGACTGGCGGACTCGAAAGGAGGTGCTGTCTCTCGGTTGCGGGACTGATGGCAGTGTGCAAAGCCGAGCCATGCGGGTGCGAATGGAGGACGCCGTTACGAATATTGTTCGGTGTTCGGCCAGCTGCTGATATGTTATTGACTCGCGGTGGAACAAGGCGAAGCAAAAATGTGTCGTCCCTAAACGGACATATTCCTTGAGCGCTTGGAAGGACATCTCCGTGGTCCCGCAGACGCCATGCTTATGCCTGCCACCGTAATAAGGCTCCAGGATCTTCAACTTTACCCGCCGCATTTCCTCCCTTTCGAGGCGCCCGGCCGTCGGAGGTTTTCAAGAGCATTGTATGGGCGGGATCTAACTGGGGGTGCGGTTGAAGAGGAGCGATGGGCATATGTAAACTCTGGAGGTGCTTAATTTTGTCCTTGGGCTTCAGTCGATAATGCTCTTCGAGGGTTTCGTTATTAAAGGACGCCATTTACTTCCAATATTAGCGATGAGTGTGCAGTGGCGGCAGATTCACATTTGTTTACCCCAAGCACGATGACCCCACCTTCGTCCTGCTTGGCCGAGCGAATTATATCTGGATGGTTATAACAATCTTTGTTTAGGGCGGTACCGTTTACCTTCGCGCTATAGTTTTCGGGATTCAGTTTGTCTCGTGGTGGGAGCCATTTGAATAGTCCGCCAAGGCTGGGTTCCGCATTACCGACCGAAGAGCTGCACCGCCGGTGGCTACGGGAGCTGCACGACTGCCACGCTAAGATCTAGCCACAGGCATGGCTTACGTTGGTTTTAGTGGAGGGGTTTGGCGGAGGAGAGAGCGTAGCACTAATGCGCATATTTATTGCTTGGGAATGGGTAAAATGGGTAGCTGGGCCCCCTGGAGCGGGGAGGAGGGGATTGCGGAAGGGAGTGGGGATAGGAATGGGAGAGGGGCGAGGGAAGTCGCGGACATTTTTGAGTGCGGCTGTCCCATCCCTACTTAAACTGTGGAGCCGCATGCCCAGACCCTGCATCGGCAGCGGCCCGCAGCAGGAGCAAGCCGACCCGTTCCGGATAGTTGGAAAATCCTGGGACCCATGTGATCAATGTAGCCTCGCTTTGCAATTGTTGTGGAGCCGTTAGTAACACCCTGTGGAGTCTTCGTCTTGTGTAAAGCACCTACGGAGCTTATTCAAAATAGGTACCTTTTTCTGGGCCAGCGTCTTTGGATAGTACATACCACGGTACAAGCGTACATGCCCCACGGCGGCCTGTGCCTTACCCTCCCAGCTACCCTCTCCCAGATGACTTCGCATGTTGCCAAATGTCATAGTTCCTGTCCATGTGCGGGATCGTCCCACAAGTTTATGGCCCATATTAAACCTCCTTCAACAGTTGTTTTGTTCTTGACGCAAGTCCTTATTTCGCACCATCACCTTCCTCACAGCTTTACTTTGGGTGTTTAGCCCATGCCTCCCCCCCGTCGCCACAAACAGATCCGTCCAAAGCAACCGGCTTTCGAGCCGCTCGACCCCGCCGCCGCAGATAAGCAGGCCGTGGTTCACGGGCGTCGGCAAGCTCCTGGGGGTGGCTGCGAATCTGTCTCGCACACGCTCGTCGACTCCAGCACCCCGTATACTGGGCCGACTACGTCAGCATCAGCCACCGGCGTAAGTGCCGCTCCTGGGCCCCCGCCAACACCATCGCCACGAATGCCCCCCCAGGCACCAAACCGGCAGCACTCCCGTCAAGGGCAGCAGCAGCGCCTCGACCAATACTTCTTCTAACGGGGCGGGGACGGCGCCGAGTCCGGTGGGGCGAGTGTGTCCTCGCCGCCGCCGGACAAGCGTAATGCGGCCAGCCTGGGTAGCGCGGCCATCATGTCGTGCGCTTGGGTGGTGGTGGCCACGGCCCTATATCTGATGGCCTGAGTCTGGAGAAACGTGTATTTGCGTATAAACGGACTCGGAACACACCGCTTCCGAGAGATATAAAGCGAGTTCTGGACATGGGAGGGAGCTGATGTCAGGAGCACGGGCGAGACCGCCCGGCAGAAAGCGGGGAGCGTCAAATGCACGGGCGAGACCGCCCGGCAGAAAGGAGGAAGGGGGCACTGGCACAGTTGGCCGGGCACGGACCCTCCCGGTGACGTGCCGGCGAGGTGCCGGTGTCGCGGCCAAAGCATAATGGCGAAGCTAAAAGATAGGGTGAAGCTTAAATTGCACGAAGGCGCATGGAGCGCGGAGGACTTAAAGGACCGACCCCGCGTGCCCGAAGGGGCACGAGGGAGGGGGAGGTCAGAGAAGGAACAATCTTGGTTGGAGATAGCACCTTTGGTAGGAGATTTACGGAGGCCTGACAAAGGAGACACCGCATCCGGCCCGTGACCTGGTGACCACCCGCCTCTGCACCGATCGGCCCCTGACAGCTGAGTGTTTACACTTTGGGTATATAAACCCTTTATAAACCGCTTTGTTCTTAACAATTTTACTTTAAACAATTAATAATCCGGAATTTAACAAGTTACAAAGCATAATAAAGCCAAATAACGTTTAACAATACTTTTCCAAGCATTCTAAATATTTTAGGAAACCTTTAAGCGATTGGAAAAATTGGCTACCCAAATTAGCTTTATTAAAGCCCGAATCCTTACAAGCTTTACAATACGGCTTTTTTTTTAAAAAAAAAAGCTACAAAAAGGCTACGAAGCGCATAAATACGATTTAATTACCGTTTAGCAAAAATTAAGCGGTTAAAACCCCAATTGGAAGCACAAAAGCTTTGCAAAAAAAAAAGGTTGGCTTTTAATCCCAACGAGGCTTTATGGATATCCGCCAAATTGCTGCAAAGAAAGGGGAGGATTTGGAAAAAGTAAATAGTGCGTTTGAAAGCCTGGAAAATTCTAAATAGGAATTAGCTTTGTTTTGCATCGAGGTGGCTTGAATAAAGGTAGAAATTTGCAGTTGAATGTAGTAGGTTTGGTGTTAATCGGATCCTTACAGAGTGTCCGGACGGGGGGGTGGTCGGACAGGGGGTGCACTGACTTAACCCGTTTCCTCTCCCCCCGCTCTTGTCGGGGAAGCCCCGAGTGTGCTATTGACTGTGTCACTTTTATACCCAACACTGTCCTCACCTCCTTTCTCAGCCTGTCTCTCCAGTCGACACCCACGGCCGCAGATATGACTCAGGACCTCGCGTTGCAGCGCACCGAGCATCGGTCCGCCGAGAAGGAGGGACTCGCCAGCAAGAAAAGGAGGACCCGGTCTGCATCTGCTATTCGCAACGCTTTCTAGCAAAGCATCCTGATTACGGTAGCAACAGTTGCCAGAACGGCCAAGGCTGCGCCAAGGCCGCCTCCCTGGCACCGGGGCTTACAAAGCCCAGACACTACCACAGCATCGGTTTTGCCCCCGATGCGGCTAGGCGGAGGCGCCGTGGAGCCGCCGCTTTGCTGAGGTGTTTCAGGGGCGGAGCCATTCTGCGCGGATTCAGCGGTAGAGGTGTGGCCCGCCGTAGACCGCCGTGCCCCCATGGGCTCCGCCGTCGGGTCTGGGGCCGTGGTGACCATGCGCAGACGAGTTAAGTCTGTGTCTACCGGCTCGGCAGCAGGGCCTGCCGGTGAGGTCGCCGGGGCTGCAGACGGCGCAGAGGTGGGGGTAGTTAGGGCCGGTGATAAACCGCTGGCGGTAGCGAGACTAGTCGTCGAGGGCTCTCTCGATGTTGGTACGTCCACTGTGCTGGTCTTCGGCAACGTTGAAGGTGAGGGGGAAGCAAATGTTCTAGACACCTCTTTGGAGATGCTCAATGTGCTGGAGATGGCAGTGCTGCTGCTGCTGCTGCTGAATATGGTGGTAATAGTGGCGAAGGAGCGATGCGGGGGTGACGGTTCAGCGCTTGGAGGACTGCTTGAGGAAGTTGTGCTGGAGCCGGCATTAGCTGTGGGAAGTGTTCTGGGTGGCGGTGCATTAGCACTAGTGCTGGAGGAAGCTGAGCCACCCATGCGCGAGATAGAGGTGGTAATGGAGGCGGCTGATGGAAGTGCCGTGGTTGCAGTCACTCTCGTCGTAGCGTCCACTCTCGTCGTCGTTGTCGCGTCGGACTTTGTTGGAGTAACTAGTGGGAGAATAGTGGTCGTCTTGGAGGGGCTCGGCAGCGATGTGTCAAAGGTCATCGATGGCTCCGCACGAGTGATGTTCCGTATGGTAGTTGGAGAGGAGATATTTGCAAACGATCCGATGCCGGCGTTGAAATCGGCACCAGGGATGGCAGCCTCCACAGAACGTAGAGTAGAACTGACGGTCATGTTTACGACGGGCGAAAGATCGGCTCCTTTGTGAACCCGGGCGATTTTATGAGTACCTTGCGAGTATTCTGCCGTGGCTCTGGCAGAAGAGGGATCGGAGTAGATGCTGACATGTCGGGGTTCCGGGACCGGTCAATACCGAGGGTATTTCTGACACAACAGTAGAGCCATTCCGATAGGGAGAAGCTGACAAGAGAACCGAAACAGGTGGTATTGGTCCTAGTCGCTGCCAGTTTGTGTGGCTATCGGCTATATATTGGATTCTGGATTGGTGAAGATGCCTAGTCCGGTGCGGCCGTCAATACCAGGCATATTTGCATCCAATACGTCCTGGGCTTTGGCATTCGAGGGGCTGGTGAATGTCGAGTTCAGGGCTGGTCTCAGTGGCGAAACGCAGGGGTTTTCACTGGCGCTCCTGCTCCTACCTGGGGCTTCAATACGTGGGCGTACGCACAAATAAAAAAAAACATTGGCCGAGAAAGAAGATGAAAGATCCTGTCATGGAGATGGAGGATGTGTAAAATGATGGACGCTAGTGCTAACCTTTTAATTCCGAGAACTCCAAAGCGCGCCCAATGTCGAAACCGCTCCCCTAGCCCCGCCCCTGATAGCCAAGTAAAACCCAAAACGCCAGCGCAGTAAACCAAAAGATGGGTGGGAAGAGAAGTAGGAGAATGAGGATGAAACAAAGGAAAAAGCCACCGGTCACTTGCGAAACCCGTGGGTGGGCAGAAACCGGCAGGCGAGAGCCGCTTTAGCGGCGGCCCAGGCCGAGGAAGCCGCCGACGAACTTGGTGACGGTGCCGAAGGCCTTCTTGAAGAAGCTGCCGATGCCGCGGGCCTGGACCTGGTCGGCGCGGGCGGCGAGGCGGGGCGGCAGGTCGCGGCGCTGGTTGCCGGCGGCCGAGGCGATCTGGTTGAGCTGGCGCGAGAGCTCGTCGATCTCGGCGCGGCTGGGCATGTCGTTGGCGGCGGCGCGGGCGGCCACGAGGGCCGTGTGCTCGTCGGCGCGGGCCGAGAGCTGGCTGATCTGCTGGGCGAGGGCGTCGATCTCGGCGCGGCTGGGCATGCCGGAGGAGGCGGAGTCGCCGCGGCGGGCGAGCGGGGCGCCGCTGCCGCCGTTGATCTGGCGGGCCAGGGCGGCGATCTCGGCGTCGCTGGGCCCGATGGAGCGGGCCTGGACGCCCTGGGCGTCGATGGCGGCGGCAAGGTCGGTGATCTGCTTGATCTCGGCGGCCAGCTGGGCGTTGTCCGAGGGCGCGCTGCGGGCCCGGACGCCACCCTGCTGGGCCTCGATGGCGGCGGCGAGGTCGGTGATCTGCTTGATCTCCGAGGCGAGCTGGGAGTCGGTGGTGGCGAAGACGGCGGTGCCGAAGGCGGCCAGGGTGACGGCGAGGGACTTGAACATGTGCATCTTGTTAGCGGGTATAAGTGGTTTGCGAGGGTGTTGGTGTTGGGGCTAGGGACGGATCTAAGATGTTTATTGTTGTGTTGTTTTTGTGGTGGTGCACAAGATGTTGCTGTTGTGTTGATGATGTTCTGGTTCCAATTCGTTTGATTTCCAGTCCGAGATGCAAGATATATATGTTCAAAGGGGATGCTGTCTCGCGAGTGCTCCCGGCAGAGCCGGCAATGCCCTCCCGCCGCCTATGGTGCTGATACAGTAAAAACAGGGGACGGAGAAGCGTTAAGCACAGTCAGTAGCCGCCGTGACGACCGGTGGCCGTAAGCCGCAATCCGCGTGTAAGCCCCCAGCAAGCATTGGTTTCCTGATGCGGCAGCTCCAGCTGCAGGGCCCGCTGGTTCTTACTGTGGACCGGGTCTCTGGACGGCGCTTGTGCTGGGGCGTTGCAGCCGGCCCTGACTGGTGGTCGTAGAAGCACGACATTCCACGGTAGACGCGGGGCGAAGGAGCACAAAGGAATGGCTGTGTCCTTCCTGTGTGGCGGACGTCAGACGCAAAAGACGGGTGCAGCCAATCAGCCCTGCCGTTAGGAAGCCAAGCCTCCTTGTGGATCGCCTGCTGGCCCACTAAGCGCTATCGTCGCACGCACTTGACAACCGCCAGGTCCTGCACTCTCAGGGCAGACCGATTGAGAAATGCAACAAAGTCCTTGGAGCAAGTGTCCATGTCGTTGATTGAGGCACAAATCGATCGTGGCGCTTGTTCCTACCCAAGGACGGTGGAGAGTCACATTGCAGATCCCGATCGGCTTGGAAAACTCAGGGGGTTCCAAGCGAGCAAAAGCGCCCGAACCGCGCAGCCACTGGGGCTGGAGATATTCTTGGCAGCGCAGGGAGGGGGACCAAAGCTGCTGCGCCCTGTGCCACAGACTAAAGGCCAAAACCACCAGGCTACATGGCTCAGCGCCTCGGCCTGCAACATGGCCCTCGGCGAGCTGGATCAGGTCGACCAAGGAATGCCGTGCCTTTCTCTTGCAGATGCACCCGTGTTGTGCATCTAATGGAAGGTGAGAAAAATAAAGGAGCAAAATGGTTACAATGACGTCGCCACATATGTGCGTCCTCCCAACAAACGCCCAACCCGGGTTTTGGGTGCGTCTAGACCCGCCACTATCGGCGCCTCAAGACCAGGGGTTCGGATATGGCTGCCAGCCCCAAGAGCTAAAATCAGCCTCACGCAGGCTGGCCTAATTGGAACGTCACAGACGTTGATTCCCGCGTCCAAAGTCCAGATATCAAGTTGGCTTAATGGTTCGAGACGGGCTAGGCATGGCCATTGGTTAGTCCATCTGCCATGTTAAGCGAGGCCATGGACAGCGCATCGACCTCGCGGGACGCCATAGTTGGCAGTTCAGGCAAGCTGGACAGGCGTATTAAATATGCCTGTTCTGGCCTGTCTGGGAAGGGAATGCGCGTTTCTGTATCATTGTTGCTTGTAGAACTACGCTCGTCACTGCCATCCCCGCCCCAGAAAGCACATTGACAAAATGGCGTCTCGATTCTCCCAGCTCCTCGTGTCGGCCATGCTGCTTGCAGGGCTCGTCTCGGCCCAGGTCGGAACCATGTGCAGGAACTAGACGTATGTTCGCTCAGTCTCTAGCTCGCCCTCCCCTCAAGATAGCCTTTTCACGCACCTCAACTGACTCGTCCCGATAAACCCACCCCCAGGCCGTTCCTCAACTGCGGAGCCAACGTCGTCAAGACGGTAGGCGTCACATGCGAAACCTATACACAGCCGGCCCTCAAGACGCCGTGCGTCTGCAGCACCCTGAGCCTCCACTACAGGTAAGCCGCCGCTGGGGGGGAGAAGGGGACCGGCCACCCCGACAGGGCCCCAGTTTTGCTGACCCTGTGAACCTAAAAAAAAACAAAAAAACAATAGCTGCTACACCAGCCTGTGCCCCCCGGACAACCTCAACGACGTCTACGAGTCCATGCTCAACAGCATGAAGTGCCCCAACGCCCCTCCTCTCAAGACCGCCGCCCGCGGCGGCGGCGGCTCATCGCCCACCAC